TGGGAGTCTCACGTATCAGTAAGGAAGGAAGCTATGAGAACGTGGGGGCATGAGCGAGAGACACCCGTCCCGAGCAGGGTTTCCAGTGGTAGAAACCGGTTATGATAGAACACAAAACCGCACCGACTACTAGACCAAGGAACTCAACCTGTACCAACTGTACCAACTGCTTTTCTTGACAGTTTGAACCGATTTAACTGCTTGAACCGCGGTCTTATGTCTTGGCATACTCCCATGATAAAAATAGCTCTTCACATTCTCAAACAAGGTGCTCGAGCTTTGGAACTGTGGTGTTCAAATTAAGGAACCGTGGTGTTCGAGCTCATGAACATGAGTTGTATTAACCGTTTAAACCGTTGGTACGACTGGTTTTGCAGATTTCTAAACCGTTCAAACTATTTATTGAGGGCGATAAAAACTGCACCAACTGTTAAGTTAAACGGTTTAGCTAAACCGGTTTGAACCATATAACCGGCGAACCACTGGAAACTTGGTCCGGAGTGCGGTATTCAAGTTGGTGATTCCGAGAGCGAAATAGAGATACGGGGCCTGGTACCAGGTTGCATCATGCTCACTCTGCCCCCACGGGGATGTAAGGCAAAGGAAGTTGATGGAAACTTGTTTTCTCACGTCCGCTATTGTTGACAGTGTCCAAGCGATGAAGGACCACGTCACTCCTGATGAGGATATGTAGGTATCGGCGTGCATAACCCCATTTATACTGTACATTCATTGGTAGAAAGTGCGGAGCTCCGTATAGGACCTGTGTTCATAGATGTAGTACGTAATCGAGGAGTCGAGTTGGCACCTCACCTATCGCCGGAGTCTTATCTGCTTGTATCTTGGCACTGATAAGTTGATGCCAGACCTGGGAGTGAACTGGCGTTAGGGACGATAAACACACATGGTGAGTGTGGCCTAACGGTTAACACTCGCAGCACACCGAGGATAGGTTGTACGTTGGCTTCGATTGCAGAAGGCGCAGCGTTCAACACAGGGGTGGGGTTTGTACAACGTCCGAGTTGTATATTCTTTTGTAATTTTTGTGCGCTGACCCCAAAGAACGCGTTTCTTCTTCTTCTTTCCCTTCCTGCGCGGGAGGCGGGTATTATCTCCGAATACCTTGGTGATGGAAACGATTATCAGAAGCTACATCTTCCACTTCAACGTAGATATAACTCCTCTGGGTAAATTTAAGGTAACCGCCACTAGTGTTGTCCATCCAGTCTTCATCGCGGTGTACAAAATGTCGTTTTTAGCTTAAATAGCGTGAGGTAGCTTTGGGCTAAACATGAGACCTGAGGTCGCTAAACTGTGGAGAAATAGTGTATAGTTCTAGGTAAAGTTTGGATGATTTAGTATAGACCGTATGCCGTTTGTTTTATAAGTTAGCTTTGCTTCAAACTAGAACTGTTTAATATGAGAAGAGATCTATACCGCTTACGTTAACCCTGCCGCATTTTTATAAACAATTACGTGGGATCTTGTTAGACTCTCTACACCACTACCAGCGAAGGGTGCCCTTGCCTCACTCAACCGGCCCGCCATCACTACCGAGCGGTTCCTTATATATCGTGAATTACCAATTAGGTAATATTGCACCAATTCGAGCTGGTGACTTTACGAAATAGAGACGTTGAAGAGCACAAATTAATCCCAATTCTCGCAGGTATCAGGTATTCGTAGCCTTGACCCTACTTGGAAGCGTTTCCTGCTAAAAGAACAAAAAGCAAGATCAGGTCGTACTCTCAACTAAGTGTTTCTTGACGAGTTAGGACATTCTAGCTTCATTTTAGCCAGTAATTGCGTACCGTTCGTTATAATAATTCAGATGATATCCTTTCTATATAGTTGCCTCATGCCCGGGAAACACCTTCTCCCCCTTTGCATTCCCTTCGTCCCAGAGACTGCTCAGTATGGACGGGTGATTCTTTGAAGTCCAGCTAACCAATACTCCGGCGCTGTTCAATTTGGTTTCAATATATGTAGTTCGCCGGTATACACTATTCCAAGAACAAATGTGACGTAAGTAGTCCGAACTTACATCCAGGGCTCCATATTACTCCTATGTACTATATACCATGTACACAGAAACAACGATCTCTCGAGTACATCGTTTTTGTGTGTACTACTAAATCGACATTTCTCATTTCTCGGAAGAGTCAACATCGACAGCCTTATATCCATATATCGGTCGAATAACGAACTGTGATAGTAAGTTATTGAATCTTATATATGAAAACGGAAAACATCTGGGGTTGAGCGTGATTGGCTTGTTGGAAATAGATAAAGAATAATAAATTCGGAAGACTGTGACTTTCTTGCTTTACTTGCTTAACTATAATACAGGGGGCATATCACGCCTGTATTTATACAAAGATATTGTACCTAGGGCAGACCTTACATGACTACATATTCACATATTGCTCCTAGGCTCGCAATACAGTTCCGACATGACTTGAGGTGACGGGACCGAGTGATAGCCCATGACTACAAATACATGGACAAGCAGAAAATTTTCAAAAGCTGAAGGAGATGCCATTGTATAGAACAGAAAAAGACACAGTATTTCTAGTACTGTTCAAGGCGTGCGGTATGGCTGGTAACATTGTGTTTCGGTCTTGTGGTATGTGGAGTCATCAGGTATCACTCGCTTGGCTGTATACTCTTTCGGCGATGGTGTTACGGAGTAATACAAAGTCAAGATGGCTTCTAACATAATTACAACGCATCGGGAATCTACGGAGGCGGTTTAAAACCTTACGCACTTAGAGGGGGACTAAAGAAATGCGTTAAAGTATTGGAGGACGGGGCTGTGGGTGGAGCAGCGGAGCGTGCAGATAGGGTTATAACAGATTAATAGATGTCGCGTTTACGTTTACAGAACCTTTACAGTTCATAGATTGATTGGCCGAATATGAAATAGTGAGCGACCAACATTAATGCTAAACTTGCCGAAAGCAATCCCCAGTTCAAGTCAGGATCCCAGGTGCATGCATGATCTCATAATACAGTTGTACCTTCCGAATAGGGAATTGAGTCAAATATTTGTTTTATTATACTACTAGAGTTCAGTGCCCGTGATGGATATAAGAGGAGACAACTTGTCACTTTCTCTTGACACTTACCAGCAGTACTCCCGCGCGACATAATACCTGTGAGAATAAAAGTCCTAGAGAGACAAGACTGAAACGTTTCTTAAACGTTATCTGGTCCTGGGACCTACCACAGGGTATTAAATAGTTTTTCTCCTTTGCCTTGCGTATTTCAGCTCGGATGAATAGTTCAAGCGACCCTAACCCTGATGACCTTTTCTATCACATCTTGCCACGACTCCACGGGAAGGGCTAGGTACCGGTTTCGAAATCCACACGATCTAACCGTAATAGTAACAACCCAGATGAGATTAAGGTCAGTTTAGTCCTGCCTCGTCTTGTGTCCATCACTAAAGGTGGCATCGGTTCAATGCACCTTATCCACGAAGGATCCCGAGTCGTAGTGCTTGTTGAATTCTTGGGGGCGCCACCAGGGTCAGGGAGCTATGAAAAGCTAGGGGAGATAAGAAAAAATCTCCTCTGAAGATGCTGTGTGATACGGATATTCCTCTAGGTAACTACGATAACAGCTAGATAACCCAGGGCCTTGAACTGGTTTTAATCGTATATCGACAGGTTTTATTATTCCCGATCATCCTGATACTCAAGGGACTCTTTAGATAGCTTCTTCATTACGAAACACAAAACTGTCACATTTTCAGACTGTTTTAGATGAAATCTCAACGGTAATCTCTTTCAGAACGTATTTCAGCCTCGGTCACCGTCTGGGATTTGAGCTTTCCCATATTGGTCTAAGGCCTTGTCTCCAACCTCCATCTGGAAGCTTAGCAGGAGTGCGTTTTTATATGGATGAGAGTTCAGAGATTCCTGGACGTTGCCGGGTACGTTTGGAATAGTTCAAGAGATCGTCATCATTGAAGAATTTAAAACAGTGGTGAAAGGCCCTTCTCTCGACATAGCGCGGCTACATGCCCCGATCTGGCATTACCCAGGATTAGGACCATCCTGGGCTTTATCCATGTTTTGATCCGTCATTTTACCTTCTGGATGATCTGAAGTAAGCTGGGAGAGCGTGAAATGTCCTAGATTAAAATGTAGGGCTTGAGCGGTAAAGTATTGCTCTCCGGTGGTGGAGCTGGGCCGGTACTAGTTGCGAGTAGAATTTGGAAAGACCCAAGAGTTTGAGAACGCTCTCGAAGCCTGTATATATTGAGATCCCTATTAACCTATGATTGAAATTAGCAGGGTAGGTTGGTGTCGCTGGGGAACATACCTCTCATGAATGTAGCCTCTGAAATAAACAGCGTGTTGTACGTTGTCACAAAACAGTTCGATCTTGGCGCTGAATCTATGACCAGTCATGGAGGCTAGGAAACGAACCGGATACCTCCTAGTATATCTGATACACACTGATTGGGCACACCGTCAAGACACCTGAGGAGCCGATAGGATGTTAGAGATTCAGCATTCCCTCCTACAGGGTGGTTTCGAATCGTTTAGTGGGGTACTTACCAGTATCCGCCGGGCCTTTCTTGAACTCCTTTTCGTGTTCACTAGAGGGGAGGCGACCGCGCCATGGGGAGTATCCTGGGGGAGTATGAAAATCAAGGGGTGGAACGATTACCCTTTATGGCTCTACAAGAGGTACGAATCGCAAAAAGAACGGATCACATATTGAATGTACTCGAGATTAACTGCTAAGTACCCCTGTTCACGCAACCTCTCGTCTATACATCTTGGGTTAGCACGTGCTTCTGCCCTTGGGCTTGGCTGAAATTGAGAGGTACGAACAGCACTGACGGTAGTACTTAGGCCGTATCCAACCTTGCCCTTTTTCTCCTTCTCCTTTCGCTCTGGACCACGCTCAGCACCTGTTTTCACAAGCTTTCATTTCTACATTCTTCCAGAAAGGATTCTATTCTTAATAGATATTTACATTCAGCCATGAGTTCCTCACCTGTGGCATACTTTCCTTCCTCTCCGCCGCAGTATACGGAGACAACATCACCCCCGATCTCCGATGTCAGAGTCGAAATCTATGCTAGATTGGTCGAAATCAAAATGATATTTTATCAAATGAACTACTCATCTTTCCTACGGGATAAGAGTCATAAACATTGCAAGAGGTCCCCTCTTCAAAGAGCAAGATTGAATGGAATACTTGCAAAAATCCATGAGGACCTTCCGCTCGTGATGAAAGATTTCCGTAGGAGAGCAAGGTTTATCATGGAAGTCGGCATCTACATGACCGAAGACACTGTATATGAGGTCGATCGAGCGATGATCGAGAAGATGAGCATCGTATTCGATGCTATATTTGTGGATGTCACCATTCCCGATGCTAAGGAAATGGTTGCTATTGTTGCTGGAGGGCCCGAGTATCGAGAAGATGTAAGAACTTAACGAGAGTACGTTAATGATGTAGACTAACTATACATTCAAGAGAGCACTGGCAATTGCAGACAACGTTAAAGTTATGAAGGAGCAAATTAAAGAAGTGGTATGTATAACAAAAATCTTGAAGGAGCCTCAGATATATAAGGCTTGGGTAGGTTAACATTTTCGTCTTTAGGGGTTTGTCCTTGAAGGTGTTTGTGTTAGTGGGAACGAATTCTCTATAAATCTTTCAAGAAAGGTATCATCCTAATTCTTCTTCTTACCTAAGCTTCCTTGTTTTTGTTCTGCCTTTGTTCCTCGAAATGCAACTAATATTTGGATAAGTCCAAGGGCAAACACAAGCCCAAGGGTAAATCTGGTATATCACCTAAACATTCTAAGGAGAGACTGTCCATCACACGTAGCCACGGACCCAAAGTGGTAGGAAGACACGTCAGCAGCTTTTCACCTCGACAGGTAGATATGTCGAGATTGCAAACAGGAGACGCCGAACCAAACCATTCGGAGAAGCAAAGTCAGGCGGCCGCTGAATGTTCGTCTTCACATGCACGTAGCAACAAACGTCAGAGCGGATCAGCAAGTGACTTCCAACACCAGATTGCTGATTATGAGGCGACAAAGTTTCATAGCAAAGTCGAAGAGTTGCCGAGCAGCGACAGGACAATTGATGATGATTGGGAGGAGAACGATCGTCTTATGCGTTTACAGGTGCCCAAAACAAGTACTGAAAAGAAAGATAAGGCTGTTGAGAAGGTTCCTACTCTCAGCACACAAGGACCTGGCTGTCAGAGTCTTGTCACTACCGATACCTCATCTCTTCCTGTAGAGTACTATCACGAAGACGGGAGCGAAGAGCGGATCGAGAACCCACAAAAGGCCGAATTACCAGTTAACGAAGAATATGGGTCAATTGAATGGCCTTCCTCACCACCTTTAATATTTAGTCCCATCCAGACCACACAGAAGCTCAGTAATTTTACAGGAAGTACAGCGATTGATCCAAAATCTTTCGCGGTTGAATCTTCTCCAGCTACATCGAAAACCTCTACTATTGAGAAAAGAGAGGCCCGGAATCCAGTTTTTACCAACAGCACGCTTGCAAAGAGGCAAAAAGGTCGGCCCTCAACATCTATTGATGGTGAGAATGTTGTAGGTCCTGATAAAGGAAATGTGCATATTGGAATAATCGCCTCCGATCACAATTCGGAGCATCATAGCAAGAAGAATTCATGCTTTGACACCGAAGCGAATACTCTCAAAGAACGGCCTTCCTTGTCGTTGACAAACCCAACGATGTTTACCGAACCCAGAATTGAAGAAAGCCCCATTTTACCACACCTTATCCCACCCTTGGACAGTAAGAAGGAAGTCATGAAAGGTTTGTTACATCACGTATATTAAGCTCAGGTATTTAGTCAGAGCTCCGCTAACACATGAATGTGGAGAATTATTAGGACTAGAAATTGAGTTGCCCGCGGTGATCGATGAAGAACCCAAGTTGAATGCCTGGTTATCTGCCTCCTCCGATGTACGGGGGGCCTCAAAAGTGACTATTCTGGAAACATTGGCGCAACTGGCTGTTGACAAACGAAAGATCACATCCGCCATCCATGGTCAGCATGGAAATAAACAAGCAACTTCCTCCGATATTACAGCGAATACTCCCAAGCCATCAACAGCACCTTTCACCTCAATGGCAGCTACGAATATCCTTGACATGTTGGGGAAAAAGGATTTGTTTGGAACCAAAAATATTATGTTGGGAAAGGATGCCACAACTCACTCTCACATTGTTGAAAATTATGGAGCCGAAGGTGTTCGTCAGACACAAGCAGGTCCCTCCTCCAGCATGTTAGGCAAAGGACCCAGGAAACGAACTCGAGAGATGAGTGAAGGAGACGGCCCTACCCAAAACCATTCTCACGACCCACCTATGACTTCTCCACACAGTTCGGGTAAGTGTTTGGTTGCCACTAACGGATCTCCAGTCACTGGTGAAAGGCGTTTCAAGAGGGCGCGCTACAACGCATGCACACTGAAGAAAAGGGCCAATACTATCGATTATTACAGTCTGGGCCGTCCATTTAAAAGGAGTAGGTTTGGCCGCCGTGGTACACCTGCTCGCCCAGCCTGCCGCGACGGCAAAGAAAATCCCTTCTTGACAACTGGTACCCCTGACATCGTTGAGCGCCGCCGTCTCTTCTTTTCGAAACGTTCATCGGAAGATAGCCATGATTCCGGTACCCCTGAAATAACCGAAAGGTTTCCGGTGCAGTATGCAGAGCCTGGGCGCATCTATGATAATAGTCCCGAGATAATGCGCTCCAGCTTGCCGAAACAGACACCCCCGGTTTTGATTGCCAAAGACGCGATTTCTTTTGTTAGCAATTCAGCGAGAGATCGTGCAATGGCTGCCTGGACTATGTCCGACGAAGGTGAAAGATCACAAAAGTCTGGAGCTCCTAGTTCTCAACGCAAGACGGTTTTCCCACGCATTCCAGTGAAACGCAAATCCATGAATTAGGCAACGGCAAGTGGCACTGGGCTATATCACTTCTCAGTGGTGAAAGAGAGTGCATAAAGGAGGAAGATGCCATTTTACATTAAGCTATGGTTTTTAATTCGTTATTAGTACTGACAAGAGTATGTCTCCCGACATTTGGGGTGTGGGGCGCGCAGCAGGAAAATGAGAGTGGAGAGGTAAATTTGATAAGATGGGCTTTCATTTCGGTGTTGGTACTAGGAGGAGTTTTTCTTCTTATCTTGCGGATGACGGTCGGTGGCAGAAGTTGTGGCATGTCACTGAATCTGGTTATTTCCTATTCTGTTACTAACTCTTAATTTTAAGCCGTGTAGAAGGAATTTGTGGTTGGCTGTTCCGAGGTCGGGATTGCTTGGATAGTTTTCATATCATTTTACAGATTCTTCCAGGTTTCCTTTTTTACCTTGCATTGATGGCTATGGTTGTACGTATCCAATGGTGGAAGTGATGCGTATTTCAGGTCATATCATTACATGTCTTAGCAGCTTTCAGCGAATTTCATATTTATGCTGTATTTTCATGCTTGGGCGCCTAGATAGGTAAAAATGCAAACGGTTATCACCGAACACTAGTTGCTATCCTTGTGGAAATATCAGTTGTCCAGTTTTATCATTGTGAAGATTATGAGCGGATAGGTAGGAATAGGATAATGGCTCGATACTCTATTTCACAGAATGAAATTTCCTTCAACAAGACATCTTATACAAACTGCCCACATCCATCACATATATGGCTGCTCTTAAGCAAGATCTTAGTATAGGGATATTGGTAACGCGGATGAGAGAGAGTGAGCTAAGTGTTAGTCAGAACTCGAGCTGTCAACTAGGATACGAATTGAAAAAAAAAAAAATGAATAGAAATAACACATATATATATTCGATGAGTAAATATAAATAGCTCCCATGGTCGTTTGTTCACTCTACGTGAGGACTTTTGCGGTGATAGGGGCATATGTCAATGATCGGCCGACCATCTTGGCGCGAGTGAGAGTATGTGAGCCAAGAACTGCAAGGGCTGGGGCTATATGAGACATCCTAGATTTTTTTCATTTTTTCGCTGATGTTGTGGTTGTTGATGGTGAGTTTGAGTTTTATTAGCTCGGTGGCGTGGGAAACGTTACTCGTTGTCTCTTTCTATCACACTGGGAAAATGGGCGGGAACATAATAGGAGTTGCCTGAAGGCGGTGTAGAGTGGCAAATGTATGACAATTTGAAAAAGTAATTGATTTCAAGCTGAGTCCTTCTTCGTTGTTCTTCGCAAGATGGTGGTCAAGTTTTATCGTATGTATTTCCGGAGTTCCCTGTAGGCGGCTTTCCTACACACATCGGGGGTGCCGCCTGTGCGTGAGTAGCGAGCACGCGAACACGCAACAGAGCTGATGTTTAGAGCTAGACTTACTTTCCAATGGGTTTGAGAAAGAAATCTTGATGTCGGGTGTGCGAAGATGTAGACGGAATCAAATTATGAATGATGACATGGGTGCGGTTCAGTTGAGGGGAGGACTGGTATGAGCTGGACATCTTCGTTGTTGGTCAAAACGGGAGGAAAGGGACACATTTCATAGAGTAGAAACAAACGCTTATTACCCAATCTTGGGCTCACCACTTGTCTTTTGAGAGCAGAAATGAACAGTAAACTCTCTATTGCAAGACCTATATTATCCTTCCGTACCCACACATTTTATTCCGGGCAACGATATGCCAGAGGCAGGACCTTTGGTGAGAACGTTGATTCTTTTCGCCGCAGGTTGGTAATTTGACTCGCGCCACCCACCCCATCAGCTTTTTCATTGATCTGTCGTTAGTACAAAACTATCCGCCTCGGAATTCTAGATGACCAACAAGGGATGAGGAAGCCTCATTTGGAGGGAGGAACGAAGAAATTATCCTCAGCTTTCATCTGTCACTGAGGTGGGTTCTCTGCAGAGTGAGTTACAATACACCTGGTACCACCTGAGTAAGGAGAAGGAAGAAAATCATACCTAGTTCATGCAGAAGCGAGGCAGGCAACCATACTGGTTTTGAAGGTCCTAGATTATGAATTTGGGATATGAGGATGGTAGGCAAGAACTATGAGCGTTACACAAGTTAATGGCAGGGTAATTGACATTACGAAAGTCTAAAAATGAGACTACTGTAGGTGTGCCGCTGAATACGTCCCCAGGTACACAGCAACCCTGTTGACATACGGGATCATGCCGCTTGTTGTGCCGCTCTCAAAAGCATTTCTCTAACAATCCGTCAAGCAACAGGCGAATAATGCTCCTCTTCCTCTCCTTCTCTCCTTCATCATCAACTCATCATTTCATCGCCTCACGATGCGATGCCCAACGTCTACATCAGGTCGATGTTCATCCCCCCTTTTTCCCATGAGGGTCTCTCCAATTGCGAAAGAGATATTTTCACGTGCAGAAGTCATCAAACAGCGTCTCAAGGTCATGTCACAACCGTCATACCAACCGGTTGAGATCCCCGACCCACGCTTCTCGTATCGCGACCTAGCCCCATGCTGGCAGGAGCCTCTCGAGACTATAGAAGAGATCCCTGCGTTGGAAAGTGACTCCACGGCTGGAGATAGCCTTCCTGAGATAAACAAGCTTATTCAAAGAACACTTGTGAAGGTCTCGCCTCAGCGGCCGGCGACGGTACTGAGGCCGGAGGTGTACTTACATATGGCGGCCAAGGTCCAGATGATTGTTAAAGATTTTTCTGTAAAGGAAGCGTTGGAAATTGTGGCGGTGCTAAATGCTGGAACATTTGTTGTGGTATGCCAGATCTCAGATTAGGGGCTACTCTTCTTGTGATCACTGCTGACCATTTGGGCTTGTAGGATAAACGGGGGGTGACAGATGTTTGCGAAAAAATAAAAAGTATCTGCTTTGACAATGTATGTTATTGCAGTGAATCTAGCATTCTCTATAACCTACCGCGGGGAGATCTAATCTTATTTGAGCATTAGGATGTTTTGCTACGAATTACCGGTGTAGACGTTGACACACAGGTTTTTGAAATGCGTGTGATTGAAACCAAACTCTCCGCGGTTCCCAAGGTCAAGACACCACCTCGTCAAATTTTCCATTGCCACTTCTCCGAACAGGGCAGCATCTGGGACCAGCTTGAACAGGAACAAAAGACCGACTCTTCCCAAACCCCTGAAGTCCAAATGTTCACACCAGTGGTCTCGTCACATCCTCAAAGACCAAGGATGACAACTAGGAGCACCCGGAAGTTCTCCGTAGCCGACTATGGATCCCCCTTCTTCGGCACTACACGAGAGAGGCGCACCTGCTACAACGAATTCATCCCCCTCGACCGCTGGTCAGCCGCTGCAACATACGACTTCAAAAGAAAGTTTCATCCGACGGGCTTTGGCCGAAGCAGAGCGAAGTTAAATACTCTTTCCCGCTCGCCTGACTCAGATGAGAATCCTTTTTTGGCCACTACGAGCAAGGCCCTGCAGAAGCGGCGTTTGCAATTCTTTGGAGTGGAGGCCCGGGTTGACGACGAGGGGAAGACCAGCTTCGTTGATTCTACTGTGAGTGTTTTTTTCGCGCGTTTTCGCGATGGTGCTTGTTTTTAAACGAAGTTTGCTAACTTTAATTCCCATTTTATAGAAGCCGGTTAGTACCTGGATCGATGTCAAAACAGCGTCTAGAATCCCACGCCCGCTTGGGGGGTTTCCCAGATCATTTTCTGCACCTCCCGCCTCAGAGGGTAGGACACCAGCCTACCAAGCAGAGCGCCAACCAGCACGCCAACTAGAGTGCCGAGGAGAGCGTCCAAGGCAGCAACAGGGGGAGCCGGTCAACTCGGTGCGTCCTACACAAGCGTTTCAGCGACGCTTCCTTCTCTAGAGGTGGTAAGGTGGGTGACGATTCGTTAGCACAACAAAATATCAATTTCAAACTATAACTTAGAGATGATTCAGATTTTCATTAGTCCTGAGTAGTATTTATGGGCTTTAATTTGGGAGATGTCAGTGTTTCTGGGGGTTTACTGTAAAACACATCTAATTTGTGGGTACGCAGGGGAAAAGAGTGGTAAAGATATATAATTAGAGGGCTAAGATTATACATTTATCTACCACTTAGAACGGAAGGAGGAGGGAGAGCGGTATGAGCTTCGTGAATAGAAATAATATCGGGGAGGAGTTAACTGTAAACGATTAATAAACCATAGCCTTTTATCCTAGATCTAAGCCGTTCCACTTGATGGGGTCTCTCAGACCAGTTTTCTCTGGAATGCTGGCTTTACAAGATAGTCCCTCAGATTAGCAGCGCCTTTAACGGTAATCTTTCAGAATATCCTGAACCCACGTAGTGAGACTAAAATACATGTTTAAATTTAACATTGTCACGCAATCCGGAGATAGTTTTGATGTCCTCTCTCTGCAGCGAAGAGGTCATAACATCAGTCGTCTCATGAGCTATAGATACCTCACACGTCTGGCAAGACAAGCGCGTTACATGGTACAGAATAATCTCCCGACCCTGCCTTCAAACTAACCTTTTTTCAGTTTTCTCTTGTAGAAGGTAAACAAAAACTTCATTTAACCTAAATGCCTCACGATAGTGATGATGCAGATGAGATATGTGGTATTTCTTGGCTGTCCAAAAAGTCCTTAAAACAGTTTCGTACAAAGGTTTTTCACTTATTTTTCTGTGGTGGAGTTTCCAGAATTGTATTATGTAAAAAAAAAGAATGAGAGGAAGAAAGAAAGAGAGAGAGAGGGGGGGGAAATAAGGTCCTCGTCAAGCGCAGAAGAAGAGTAAAATCGGAAAATCGAAAAGCTGAAAAACCGAAGAAAAAATGTACCCAGGGGTGCCGGAAAGTGATGGAACGACTCAATTTACTACGCACGATTTCAACCACATGCAACCCAACTTTGACTTTAACGAAGCAGCGATATATAGTATGTAAAGTAAAGATATTATGAAGAATTCATCAATCACATCAAAATGAAAGAAATTACATGTAACGTGGTTTGCGAATTCACTAAGACCTCAGCCTATATTTCCAAGCCGTTGCATCACTTTTGGGTACCCCTGGGTACATATTTCGTACATGATCTCACACCTGACATCTCTTATAAAATTCCAGGTTTTGTTTCCCCATGTTTTTCTCCCGTCCCGAGTACGCAAAACACAAACAAGGTTCGGGAGTCCCGTGTCGCTGGAAACAACTAATCAACTGACAAATCAAATCCTTTTCAGGCTCTCGTAATAATTGCTGACTACTCTCTCCTCTTCCTATTCGTCGGCGCCAAAACCAGCCAATACCACGCATGCATGGTTGCACAGACCCCAGCCCTATCACACCCCCGGACACAGAACCATGACTCAGCAACAAAACAGGAACGCTGGCACATATTAATAATCAGACACGTGTCCGGCCAATTTAACCTCATCAGGAGATACATCTCAATGTACATTTTCCTCGATCCACAGTTCTGAGTTGCTGGCGATGGATGGGCAAGTGGTAAGGTAGTGATTCTGATGAATGTCCCGGGAGACGAGAGTGGACCGGTGTGGGGAGGTCTGAAGCGGTGAGGTGGGTATTTGGGCTGGGTGGATTGGATTTTTGTCATTTTTTGGGAGGTTTTCAGCGGGAGTCCAGTATACATGTGTGTAGTTCAAGTAGGTGAGGATGAAGCTCGAAATACACATCCATCATTCATTCCACCTTCACATCGCATTCCTTCTTTTCGCGGTGAGTAAAGACCCGCAACACTTACACGTAAGACAGTCTCGAGAGTTAAGGCATATACGTTACACCACTTTAGAGCTCACGCATCTTCGCAGCTACATATACAGAAGCCCAAAACCCTAGAGCAAAGGAAAACACGTAAGTATATTACTTTTCACTCTTAACTTGCTAATGTGTCTAGAGACTAACTAGAGAGGATACAATATTCGGAGCGAAGCTCACCTCTGTGAGGGTCATCATGTCGCATGGTTTGTCAGCCGTGTAGCAGCGGAGGCGTCTGGCAGTGTACGTACAAGAAAAAAGTAGACAAAGTAGTAGAATGATCATGGCGCTGGGCTGTGAGGGTGTCCCGTGCCCTTAAGGGGCAGTTGGCTGTTAAGCACCGCAAGTACGCGGGAGTCCATACTAACTCTACCGCGTGTCACTCTCCGCCAGTATTACCTACCTGTACACCCCGCAGGTAACAAGGCATTTTACTCGACAGTAAACAATGTAGATCTCCAGCCACATCACATGACTACATGTACTAAATCGCCAGATGATGCAAAGCAACTCTTCCCGTTCCACATCAACGTAACCCAAACCTAACCCTTCCCAGCTAGCCTATCCACCCTAGCTAGCACACGAACTAGCACCCGCACTAGCTCCAGCCCCCTGCCCCGACTCATCTACTACATCTACTAATATACCTGTACTAAAAAAAGCTACTAAATGCTCATTTCGCACACGCGCAACTAGCAGCGACCACCCGCGCTACAGGGATTACTGTTATTGTTGCTGCGGTTACGGGAGTGTGGATGGGTTTGTTTTGGTTTTGGGTCTTGAGGGTGGTAGATGGTGAGGTGGGATGGTATGGAGTGGGATGGGGTTTCCACTTTTTGTGGTTCTTTCTTTTGCAGCTCTCGGTGATGCTGCAACACCATGGGCAGTGTTTTGGGTGGGTGGATAGTTATGGACTGTGTAGATGACAGCGTTTGAGCACTTAGAGATAGATGTCTCTGGCTTTAGGCGCCAGATAGGTCTTTAGATGGCATTTTTCTTGCTGCTGTTATTGTTGTTTCTGTTTTAGTTGTCATTCCCACCTACCAGAAGTTGGGCATCCAACGCCCATAGATGGAAAAAGCCCACATATCAACATGATTTCAGCTTTAACCCAGTCTCTCTGGTCTTACACTTGTCGAGAACGGAAGTTTCCTTTGTGACCCGTAGGCTACCTTTGGAAAGATAGCAAAAGACATTGTTTTGTGTTTGGGAAAAAGGTCTCTTCAACAACAAATGTCCAGCCTAATCCATCTCTCAGAACACCCATTCCTCATCAACACCGTCTTAATTATCTATAATAAACCCTCAGGAGATCAACTGATCCTTCAATCTCTGTTCTCCCCAAGTATCTAAGATATACTGCCACTAACATTGCCCCCAAACCCAAGAAAACCCCCAAAACCCAACCCAACATAACCAAACCGAGTGATATCCCATGACACCCCCCCAAACACCCACCCACCACACCCCATCAAAAAATCTTCCTCACCAACCAGCCTCACCCCCCAAATCTCGCGCAACTCCCAATCCTCAAACCTTCTTTCTCAACCTCTCAGTAACTCCCAGTCTCCACCATCCCGTTCAACCAATCTTCTGTTCCGCAATCCTCCAGCACCACCATCATCATCATCATCAACAACTTTTTCTTCTTGCCGAATACCCCCCACCATCACAACATCGTTCTCACCCCCACGATGTCCGCCGGAGTCTGCAACCTGCAGTTCTCCACGCAACACGAGGGTGTCACTGCCCCTCGTGCAATTGCGCGGGTTGTCCTCACAACCGCACGGCACAACACTACCAAGGAGGAGGAAGAGGAGGAGGAGAGGCGGTTCGAGGAGATGGGGCAGGCGGTCGCCCGTGTAGTTTTGGGAATGGGGGCGATTGAGGGGAGCGTTGTGGCTAGGAAGGTGGCGGGTAGGGGGATGAGGGGGTTGAAAGGTGCCGTGGTGGATGTGGCGAGATGCGTGGCGGAGTCGGTGAGTTTTTTCTATTATTTTTATTGTTGGGGTTTTTTTTGGTTTTTGGTGTTTTCTCCGTTGATTGCTGCTTTGGGACGGTTTTTATATTGGCTATTTTTTTATATGATTAGTTTCTCATATAACTGTTTCCCGTGATGTATCCCTATTCCTATCATTTCCCAACTGCTTCCTGATATCCCATTGATCCTATATACCTGTTGTGCCGGTATATCGATTTTTATACTTCATATAAATCCCCGGACCGTCCAGTATCGAGTAGAATTTCAGCAATCTCCTCCATCAGCTTTTAAATTCCTCAAACCCCATACCCAAACTCCACCAAGACCCCGCCCCAGCTTCAAACCCAATACATAATTTCAAAACCCAAACTAACACCTCCTCAGGGCTACACCGTAGCAGCCGCCAGCGTATCCCACGATCCACCCACCTTCACCATGACCCTCACCCCTACCGTCGACCTGACTACCCGCGCCCCCAAAAGGTCACGAACCCCCGCAGTGGCCACCACCACCACCACCACCATCAAAGAGGAAGAGGAAGAAGAGGAGGAGGGAGAAGAAGAGACTCGCGCCGCAAAGCGCACCAAAACTCCCACTCCCACCAAAACCAAACTGCGTTCTGCCGCCGCCGCTACCAAGCGCAGATCGCCGTCACCGCCACCACCACCACCACCACCAGCACCAGCACCAACACCAACCCTTGCCGCCGCCGTCACCGTCACCGCCGCAACGACGCCCAAGGAGACCGCTGCAACCACCACCGCCGAGCTCTGCGCCGCACTCGGGGTGACGCCAACCGGCCTCGCCATCATGCGGTCCCTCGAGACCGCACGGGAGGAAAAGCAAGCCCGGACCGCCAAGGCCAGCGCCGCCGCCGACACTGTCGCCGCCATCGCATGGCGCGACTTCCTCACGGGAGCCGACGTCGAGCGCGCGCGCCAGGAGTGGCTCGACCGGCTCGAGGCCGAAGAGCTCGAGACCTTCGTGTGGCTGGAGGGCCTGAAGGACGTGCAGAGGGAGGAGGCCCGCGAGCTCGAGGAGATGCGGGACGAGCTGGAGGACCGCTGGGATGCGGCGTGCAAGCTCCTGGAGGATCACGAGGATCTCATGGAGGAGATGGCGGAGGACGCCAAGACCCTGGGGGCTCAGGAGGCGTGGGCGATCATCGAGGAGATGAACCACGCCGAACGGGCCTACCGTGAGGAGGCGGGGAGAAGATGGAGGGAGCAAGGGTTGAGCATTGTGGCCAAGGGGAAGAGGCCGGAGAGGGTGGAGGGTGAGGGGAAGGGGGAGAAGGCGGTGAAGGTGAAGGAGGAGGAGGAGGAGGTGAATGAGGAGGATGAGGAGGATCAGGATGAGGAAGAGGATAGGGATTCCGAGGAGGCTTCCGAGGAGAAAGAGGAGGAGATCGAGTTGGCTGCCATCGAGCCCAAGGAGGAGGGAGTCAGGGAGGAGGAGGAGGAGGAGGAGGAGGAGGAGGAGGAGGAGCAGGGCCCAAGGCCGGAAGAGGAAGAAGCAGCCCGGCCTGCGCCTGTCGGAACCGTCCAGTACGGGGACAACAAGCGTAAGTGCCGGTTCGCCGACAACCTCGACCGCGCACCCGTCACCGCCGCCGACGCCGACTACGCTTCCACAGGTAGCAACAAGCGCCAGCGCCTATCGGGGCCTGAGCCAGCTGCCGTGGTTGCCGCTGTCACCGTCGTCCCTGTCGTGCCCGCGCCCGCTCCGCCGCCGCCGCCACCGCCGCCGCCTCCAAGCACACCGTGCTTCCCGCCCTCAACCTTCGGCAAGGTCCGCCGAACCCCGCAGTCGCCAATTCGTCCGCTACGCAAGAGCGCTTTTGTCCCCGACTACGTCCTGGCCCGCCCCTTTGTGCGTCGAAGCTACAAAGAGGCCCGCTACGTGAGTCGGCAGAAGCGCCCCGCGAACCCGTTCGAGAGCGAGGCCGACTTCCCGCGCAGAAGGATCCGCGACCGGGCGGCTAGGCGCGCCGCCTTCTTCGAGCGCCGTGGTGCAAGCGCGGATTCCCAGAATCTGTTTGCTTCTAGGCCCGCGCTCGGAGAGGAACGCCTACCGTCCATGTGGACGCCAACTCCCGGGGGGTCGGACAGCGAGGGGGAGGTGGACGAGATGTATGTCCACAAGATCAACGTGCAGAGGAGGAAGGAGGCCAGGGCTGCCGGGAAGGCGGCAGAGGTAACGCCACCAAAGGTGTTCCTGAAGAAGTATATGCCCCCGGGCATTGCTGCGATGGTCCCACCGGAGGAGGAGCGTAGGGCCACTGTCGCTGGAGCCGGGGGGAGTCGTGCAGCTGGCAGGAGGGAGAGGGAGAAGAAGCGCGCTGCTCTTTGCGGGGTGGGCGTCCCTGTGGTGTCGAGGGGAGTCTCTCGTTTCAAGACCGCCCCCGTCCGCGCTGGCGTCTTGTCCGGCTTCGTGGCGAAGAAGAAGTCGGGCAAGAGGTCCGGTAAGCTTGCGTCGTTGGGGCTTGCCTCGCTGGCTGTGGGCATCATGGCCAACCTCGGCAGTCTTGGTGCGCAAGGCGGTGTCTCTGGCAAAGATGCTGTCGTGTGGCACGGGTCTGTCGGGGTTGTCCAAGGTGCTGGCGGACAGTGGGCTATGGTCCAGCGTGAGCGTGCGGGCTGGGGTGGTTCGACGGAGGCCGCGGGGGACGTTGAGATGGGGGGACTCGAGACCTCCGAGGATGAGGGTGAGTCCATATATCCAGACATATCCATCATTGACCCTTGCTTTTGTTGCTATCATTTCTAGTCCAATACTAACAATAATTTGCTTCACAGACGCAGATACCGCATCCGCGACCGTCTGGGGAAATGTGCACCCAACGAGTGGTAAGACCGCAGCTTCGGCCGAGGGCACCTCGTTCATGGGGCTTTCCCCGCGGTCCGGCTATTAGCCGGTCGTCCCATTCTTGGGATCTCCTGGACCCCCAGTAAGTGTTGTATTTTTAGGAGGTGGAGAGAGGGGGGGAGAGAAGTAAGTATGATTTTTGCCCTTGAATATTCGGGATTTGGGCTGACTGTTGGTTGTGAAAGGTTTTGGGGAAGAAAGAGGGGTGGCCTTCACAGGGGCCTGCCGTCTCCGTCCCTTGCTGTCAGTGTCTCTCTGTCCGGTAGCTACGGTTACATGGGCAGGAAGACACTGCGGTGGGGGGCAAGGGACGGCGGGTCCTATGTGTTGGTGTTTAATCCGGTTCTGCAGCTTGTCGTCGTTGTTGCACCTTCACCAATTATCAATGATCACCCCCTTTTTCCCCCCTTGTGAATCCGAAGCAGGGAAACCAAATCCCCCGGATGTCAGTCACCCCCATCACCACCACCAGCATCTTTTTTTTCGACCGAAGTAGGGACACCAAAACCCCCGGGAGATAGACACCACCATCACCATCATCACCATCTTTCGTTTTTGGATCCGAAGCAGGGAAACCAAGTCCCCCGGAAACCACCCTCACCCCCATATTCTTCTTTTTAAGTCCGAAGTAGGGAAACCAAACCCCCCGGAACATCATCACTTCTCGTCTGCAATGCCCCCAGACACCACCACATCACCATCACAACTCGAAGTAGGGACAACAAACCCCCCGAGATTGAGAGAGAAAAGCTTCTACTGATTACAGAGAGCTTCCGCCGCCGTTTTTGTACGTTTCGCTATGTTTCGCCATGTATGCTCCACGCGTCACCATCCACCGCTAACCAACCAACCAGCAGAATAGGTCAGCAGCAACGACTTCGCCTTCCCGCCCGTCAATTTCAGCAATTTACCAAGGAGAAAGTCACAACCCCCCCCACTGCCAATACTACCGTGTGCAACGCCTCGAGTCTGCCAATTAAACACCAAAGCGGATTATAACAACAAAAAATTTAAAAAGCCAAAAAAAAGTTTAAAATTATAAAACAATCAACAAAATACAGCGTTTGGAATTCGGAAGTTAATAGTAAAGTATAATCCTTAATACCTTAATAACTAATATATTATCATCCGGCGTGTGGCGAAACCTTTACTGGTTTAGATACATATGGACCAACCGCAAATACCAACGGTCGAGAGGACGGGATGGGGAGAAAGAGTTCGGCCGGATACGATGGGTAATACCATCATAAGCCTCTATCTGGCAACGACAGTCAATAGCAAGATGGGGAGGATAAGAGGAAGTGGGAGGAGTAAAAAAACCGTTGAACGAGTAGGACCTCGAGGAAAATAGGATTATGGGAATGGAGTGAAGTATATCAAGACCACAGAACTAATACCCTGGAGAAGATTGAGTGCTAATTGTGAGGTGGTACGTTAGGTGCTTAATTATCACTGTCAATTACGCTGGTAGCCCGGCGCGAAATTGATAGGCGGTACTTTTGCAGTCATCTCGCAGCAACGACGACAATTACCTTTTGGGAACGACCAAGTACCTCTTTGGAACGACAATTATCTCTTGGGAACGACAAATGGCATCCTTAAACCACGATATCGGAACGGATAGTCTCTCTAGCTAAGTATCATGACATGACCACCACGCAAACTTTCGAAATGATGACAGTCAGAACAATCTACAGACCGAAGATCCATACCAATAGCGCGGACTTACCAAGCAACCAGTTGATACAACCTTTCCCGCCTTCCGGAGGAACCAAAACGCCACCACCGTTCACCACTACCGAAATCGACGAATAGCGAAAAACCAGCAGTCGACATTAAAGAGCGAGATACGATACATAATACTGTTATCTGGCACGACAAGAAACAGCGCCTGATAACAACCTACGCACCAAAGGCCAACAACAACAACCGAGTCGCACGTGGAAGTACCAAACAACCGGTCGATACAACTTTACCTGGCGCCGTCCCACCAAGAACAAAACCGACGAGCAGAAAACCCTAGTAGCCGAACCCAAGAGCACGACAACCAAGATACACCTTCAGCAACCATTATCTGGCGCGACAAGAAATAGCGCCCTGCAGGGAGGAGAAAGAGACGTAAAAAAAAATGAAAAGAAAGAAAAAAAATACCGGAAGGAAAATAGCACCGCCACCAAACCAAGTACACCCACAGTGGGATCAACCACCTTACAAAACTACACCAAATCTTTAATACTCTATCACCAACTACACCGGGACGCCGGCGCAACTAATAATTACTCATAGATAAGAACACACCAGAAAAAACGAAAAACGAAAAAAAAAAAAAAAAAATTTAAAAAGAAAAAACAAGCCAAAAAAAAGACCACCCGCCAGTACATATTGTCAAGTATATTCCAAGGCAACTACATATCTTCGAGCTAGAGACCCAATGACTAACGATCCTACAGAATTAATTAGTTTACATCTTTAATACCCGATCATGACCAACCTACATGCCACCGGTACTAGCTACACCGGCGCCACGTTAATGGTGAATCGTCCACCAAAAACACCAAATATATAAAGTCGCAGGCGACAAAAAAAGTTTAAAAAAAAATTAGCAAAGCAAGAACCTGGGGAATCACCATACGTTACTTCCTCGGCCGTCAATAATCAACTTCTGCTTATCGATCAACCATCACAACACACCTCGAGGAAACCAAATCGTCACCTCCGATCAAACACCGAGAGGCTACCGCGAGCATAATCCCAAGAATTAGCAAAGCAAGAACCTGGGAAATCACCATACCTTACGTTCTCGTCGTCGATCAACCATCACAACCCACCTCGGGGAAGCCAAATCGTCACCTCCGATCGAACCACCGATAGACTACCGCGAGCATAATTCCAAGACTCGAGCACACGGGTAAGGAGGAATAGTCGAACTATAAAAAGAAAACGACGGAGAAAAAAAAACAGCATCAAATTTAATCCTGGTCCGCAACAATAAACGCCCGCTCGTTAGTCAACAATGCGGGCTGGAGCAGATATATCTCCGGTCGTCTCAGGAGCACAGCCAAGCCACCGTCTCCGAATGAACACCACTCACTCGTCTGCCATACAACGAATACGATCGAGCGCCCACATTCAAAATTTCAAAGGGAACGGTAAAAATATGAAAAACAGAATGATCAATAAAGTGACATAACGTTCTTGGTCAGCTACGCCGGAGCAACAGAGCCGATATCCATCTCAAGGGACTCAGCCAAATCGTCACCTGGGGGAGAAAAAATGACATTGTGTTTTTGGTCGGCAATACTCAAAACCAACCCGCCTGCCAGATATCTCGGAGCAACCAAACCACCATCTCTCTCAAGGGGCTCAGCCAAATCACCACACAACGGAATACAATCGAGCGCCCACATTCAAAATTTCCAAAAGAATAATTAAAATATAAAACAAAACAATAAAAAAAGACAAATAACGTTCTTAATCGGCTACTCAACATTAGCCCGCTTGTTAGCGATGCCGGAGCAACAGAGCCAATGTCCATTTCAAGGGGTTCGGCCAAATCGTCACCTCCGGTACAATAGCAACAGTCTTCCGGGGACGGCAAAGAACAAGAGAAATGGAAAGGAAAAAAAAGTGACATTGTGTTTCTGGTCGGCAATAATCAACATCAACCTGCCTGCCAGATATCTCGGAGCAACCCAACCACCATCTATCTCAAGGGGTTCAGCCAAATCACCATACAACGAAATACAATCGAGCGCCCACATTCAAAATTTCGAAGGGAATAGTTAAAATATGAAAACATAACAATAAAAAAGCGACATAAGGCTATTGGTTGGGTAATCGACACTCGTGTCAGCTACGATGGAGCAACAGAGCCAATGTCGATTCCAAGGGGTTCAGCCAAACCACCACCTCCGATTAAGCAACGATAGGCTACCGCGAACATGGCCCCAAGACTCTACCACAAGCTTAACGGGAATAGTCATAACAAAAAAGAAAATGAGAGAAAAACAGCGTCACGGCCTTTGTCCCCAACGATGAGCATGACCTGGCCAACCAACCAAGTTCGACCAGATCAGCCGTCGCTTGCCGGTCATACAACGAATATGGTAACGCGCCCTAATCCGAAGTCTCAACGGGAAGGGTTAGAACACGAAAAACAGATAAAAGAAAAAACAGTATTGCCCTCCAAGTCGGCAATGAACGACATCAACCTGCTTGTCAGCTATCTCGGAGGAGTCAAACCACATCCGTTGCAAGGAGTCCAACAAAATCATCACCTCTAGTATAACGCCGGAAGTCTTCGGCAAACATGACTCTCCCACCCGGTAATGGTTTCCAAAGAGAGCAGTAACGACACCACAAAGAAAACAAAACAAAATCTGCACTAGTGCTTGGTCGACGATAATCGGAAGCGGCCTGTCAATCAACGATATTGGAGTTCACTATTGATTACAAGAAATCCATCTAAATAGTCACCTCCGATAAGCCACCGGTAGCCTACGTGCGGCGAAGATAATGGCAAGACGTGTGGAATCTTGCGGGGGGGATAGTGAAGATATAAAATGAAAACGAAACAAATCAGGGGTTTGATGGTTAGGCAAGTCAACGAACTCCATGACATAAAGTTGAGCACTAACAATCTTGCAGAATTACTCAGAACCTCCATTTCAGTGATAGCGTGTGTGGGTACCGTCAACTTAACGCCCTCCCCAAAAAGAGCATGGCAGGACAGAAACCAAAAATGGGACAAGACAATCAATCTCAAACGCAGAGGATATCGGCGCCTATGGGATTAACCAAACACTCCTAGCTGTGTGTACAAGCTTGCACCAATCCACTTTGGCTATGACTGCCACAGATATCCTCTCGCATGGGTACACGGGTAGGAATTGGACACACCCATACATCACTACAAAAGGATTAGAAAGGAGAAAAATAAAGGAGAAAAATAAAGGAAGGATGAATAAGGAGGAAAAAAAGAAGAACGAACGAAGAGATAAAAGGAAAGAAGGAAAAGGGGAACAGAAAAAGAGGAACAGGAGAAGGGAAAGAGAAGGGAAGAAAAGAAAAGAAGAAAAAGAAGAAAAAGAAGAAAAAGAAGAAAGAATGATAAAAAAGAGAAGAAAAAAGAAAAAGAAAAAAGAAAAAAAGGGAAGAAAGAAGAAAGAAGAAAAACGGAACAAAGGAAAGAGGGAAGAAAGGAAGGGAGGAGAGGGGAGGGGGGGGGGGGGGAGAAAAAGAGAAGAAGGGAGAAAAATGAAGGAACATCCTAACGGAATTGAAGCAGCCATCAACACTTTGCGGAGGTAGCTTCGAGTATAAAGAATTCCGATGGGCGACTGAAGTGGAGATTGGGAACAGACAGCAACTGAAACTCACCTACGGCTGTTATCGGAAAGGAAAAAATAAAAGGAAAGAGAAGAAAAAATGAAAGGAAGGAAAAAGGAAGAAACCATAACCAGCCTGGTACCATGTCTGACGACAACGTGGCAAGCACCGCGCAATCAAGGATCTACTATGGAATACATCATAGGTCTCAAAATGATCACCGCTCATGAACAGAATCTTACATCAACCTGCCTCTGATTCACTCGTTCGATTAAAGATTCCATCATCTGAGTATCCGGGTACACACGCCAAGCGGGAAAGGGACACTCCTCGGGTCATCCAAAAAATCAACGAGAGGTAATTGGATGGTTTCGACAGTCCGAAACAGCACTCTCACCTCTATCGGCGAGGAACGAGAGATGTCGGAGTCTCGGAAAAGCTATTTCGATTATAACAAATAATCGCTCTTTCATTAACGACAACCCGACATCAACCTACACAGAAACAAGCCCTAAGACGCGATTGTTTGTGGACATTGTTTAACCTCCCATTTGGAGGGTGGAATGTTTGGGGTCATGAGGGGATTTGGAGAATTTGTGGATGGGCCCAGGGCCCGGGTCCATCCGCAGAAACCTTAAATCCTTGAGTGGCCCCAAATACGATACCCTCCATAGAAGGAAATAATAAAAGATAAAAATTAAAAACACGGATAACAACTATACTCCCTCTGGGGGGGCCACGACTCTTGCCCTCCGGGGAAAGTGCCGACCAAGCGAACGCCATACATAGGCTTGGTCGGTCCAGTTGGGCACTTGGTCGTGCTAGAAGTGAGTTCGAATGCCTTTATTATAAGTGCAGAAGCTAACCCTGACATAGGCACACTTCAGTCTCAGTCATTGGCTTTTACCACACTTCGCCGCTCACATCGGATGTTCATACATTCGAACACTCTACCTGGGGGGCCAACGTCTAGTGCCCCCTGGGAAGGGGTAAAATAGGCACACTTCCGTCTCAGTCATTAGCTTCTACCACACATAGCCACTCACATCGGGTGTTCAAGCATTCGAACACTGTACCTGGGGGGCCAACGTCTACTTCCCCCTGGGAAAGGGCCGACCTTGAGAGAGACATGAACAGGCTTGGTCGGCCCGCTCAAGCCCTTGCGATCCCTACCACCTTTGGATCGTAAGGGCTCGCTTACTCTCTCTCTCAATCTTGCGTCAGTTCTTGGGTGTCCCGTTGAAAGTTCGGATATATTGCCTGCCTAGTGGGGAGTTGCCTAATACAAAGCCTAAGAGAGAGAAAAAAGAGGGAAATAGGAATGTGGGGATTGGTCCATAGCTTGAAACTGCTCCCGATTTGTGCATAGGGTTGCAAGAATTAAAGTGCGTTTAAGAACGAGCGAGCTCGATTCGGTAACCTGCTTGTCGTCCACCGTTGCATTGAGGCGGGGGTGGGGTGGGAGAGCGGTTGATGGGTTGATCTTTTTCAACACATCAACCGGATCAATCCCCTCACTCTTGTTTTCCGTGCAAGAGAAGTGGGAGATTTCGAGGGAATATGTGGGGTCATCAGGGGGAAAGAATACTGGTTTACAAATTGCGAACCGATTCTGAGGGATCGAATACTGGCTTCCAAGTTAGGAACCGATTCTGCCTGAGAGAGTACTGGTTCACACATCGTGAACCGATTCTGAGGGGTGGAATACTGGTCACTAAATTGTGAGCTGATTCTGAGGGAAACTGTGGGGTCTGGGGGAAGCTGTGGGGTCATCAGGGGGATTAGATAAGGCTTAGAAAAGGGCAATGAACTACTGGGCATTTAACATTATTCGGGAGTTTGACGGGGCATTCTTGGGTTGGCAAAAGAGCGAGGGAGAGGGTGACTACCAAGTGAGAAAGATGACAAAGACACATTGACAGACCTTGAACAAATGCCAAAGACAACTCAACGTTTGGCATCTAGACTGAGATCATAAGTAATAGGTATATCTCTATTTCCTAATATGTTGGAATCGCTTACTAAAAGATCTTTTAGGGCTGACCTCATCATGTGGCAACACCATCAAAAGGCCATGAAGTCAAAAGGCTTAACAAAATTAAATTTACTCCTCCGGAGACTGATGGAGACCAGGCTGAGAGCACAGTGTATGTCCTTTAGATTGTTCAAACTTTGATCTCCCCTAATAACTAATGATATAAGCTGCAGTAAAGCTCAGTGGTCTTTACCGATCAGCTTCAATTATATGGATCTGGTTCTGAAGTGAATGATCGATAGTTTGCTATATGGTATTGGTATGGCTCAGGAGAAGATGAGCGGTAGTAGGACTGAGGGACCGGGGCCCGCGCGAACGAAAGATTTCGATAGAAAGGAACGAAGGGGTCAAGGGGCTCAATATATCCGGATACTCCAAATGAAGCATCCTGCGCATGATACGCGGCAGGATAAATAAAAAATCAGCCAAAAGAAATGGCCAAAGTTGTTGATGCCCCCCCGGGGGAGGTTATCTACACAATATGCCTCGAGATACAACACAACTACAAATCTAGGCGTCAACGAGCAAGACCACACCAACCACCACAATGTCCACAAGCCCCGCGGAAATGTGTTGTTTGAGAGAGACGCTGTTAGACGGGATGGTAGAGCTATTTTCACACCTCCGATGAGTAGAGACGATCCTGGTACCTTTCAACCTAATTACTCGGCCGCTCTGAGTTTGCCACCAGTGCCTGGTGTACACCTTACACCTCCGGAATCACCGGTGTACAGTCCGCTTTGCCCACGAGTCCCAGCATCAACTTAATGGGGGCGGAGATCTTCACCACGGAAGTACAGGAATAGTGGAAAGGAAACAACAAAGCAGTCTCCAAGGTTTTCCTCGATAACAGAAAAAAAAAGAGAGATCGGGGTAGCGACCGGGGGAGACTGAAGATTGGTACCACCGACAGCTGTGAAGATGAGAGTGAGTTCGATCACCGTAATGTGTGTACTCCAAATTAGAGGCCATAGCCAATACATTCGCCGGTAGTAAATTCATGAAACCGTGAAAAGAACGGTCAAGTCCAAACAATGCCAATTTTAGTGTGTCTATCATCGACACGATTGGAAGGACAATCTTTCCACCCAAGAAGCGGAAAATGTCCACATGGCGGGTGGCGAAGATGTTTCATGGAGGGGATATGAAGGTCAAAACAAAAAAGGAGGAGGCAGGGGGAGGTGATGAAGGAGGGGGAGGAGAGCAAGCAGGGTGGGGATAAGCAAATGGTAGAGCACGAAATAGCAGGATATAAGAAGGAACTGGTGACGAAACTGGAGAAGATGAAAATAAGGTTTACTAGAACGACGTTAAAAATAAGAGGAAGATAAAGAAAAGGCTGGACAAGATGGGGAGGAGGTTGAGGAAGGCACAGATATGGGACCTAGTTCAGAGAATGAACGCGCCGAGCATTGAGTAGACATTGTTAGCTAAGTGGGGGGAGGCGCATCGAGACTAATCACTCACTCACGCAAATACCTACTATATTCAATGTTAGGAAATATATCTACCGTTAGCACTTCGGACGTTGTGATTCTTTTTGATTTTGTGCATTCTCAATCTATCCCTTCATTTCTCAATTGCTACTCCCCTATACTAGAGAAATCAAATTTGTATGGGAGATCTGTTATTTGATATATATGGGAGGTAACGAGATGCGTTAGTAAGGCCACACAAGATTTGCTTTTTTTGGGCTGCAGTATTTGGTCGACAGACGAAGGGGTATATACAGCCACTCTTGCAAAAGTGTTCGTGATTCCGATTTCGGAGTGAGACACCTCCCCATATGTAACCGCGGTGGGCCATCAAGAACCCCCAAGAGAAGACCTTCCCAGTGACCAATGGCGCCCAAGTTAATGAAGAATAAGATCAATGACCTATGCTCTTTGTATATATAGTCACGAACCATATTATATATTTCTCGTTGTTTTGAATCTCAACTTTAATAGCATCAGTATTATGGGTGCGCCACACTGCGCACCGATATTAAAACTATATCACGAACACTTTTGCTGAGTGGCTGTACATACATGTATGTGTTTGGTGAATCATAAAATATCACTTCCATCTACCCAGTGTTCTAGCTACCCAAATGACCTTGAATTCGTAAGGATGATGTGGTAAACCTACATGTATTTCATCATCTGTTGTCATTTACCTTTGGGGTTGTTCTCTTCATACCGTTTTGATACCTATACGTACTCTTTAGGTTGACACTTATCCGATCGTGGCCATGCGGGCTAGGTAAACTCCTCGCCCACGAAGTACCATGTCACCGATAAAACCCCCGCGATCGGGAGCATGCATTTCTTTTGTTTTTTTTGAGCGCAAATTAAGGCTAAAGCAATGTATTTTTATCTCTTCTTTCAAGGAACACCTTTCGCGAGACACAAATCTCGGTGTATACGTTCAACAAGACATGTTCAATCAGCTACTTTCATTTATATTCCCACGTCACCCATTCTAACAGTGACCCCTTCATTGCACCAGATGGTGTCTCCGAAAAAGCAAAATAATTTCTCAATCAAGTCCTTCAAACCACAAGACAAGCAAACAACATCAACAAAAGAGGTCCACATCTTCACACAATCACCGCCCCATTCCTCCCAGGTAAAACTAAAATTCGCGACCAGAGTACTAGTATTCCCGGCCCTCGTCATTATCGCAGTGCCCTCCCTTACCTCCCCCCAGATGCACGTCTGCGACTCTTGACATGCCTCAGCCTCAACCTTTCCGCACGGGGAGGAGGGTAATCGCCAAGAACCGCCGACAAAGCAACCTTAGTTGATAAATTGTCGACCCTATTGCTCGCAGTAGAGTTGCTACTACCACCGACCACCGTACCTGCGCCCTCGTTGGTGGGTTCCGGATAATAGGTCGCAATTGCAGGATGTCCGTAATGAAGTGTAGTCATCCACTTACGCGCTCTATTCATAACTGTTGGGAGGTTTCTAGACAAACTACGCTCAAGAACCCCCGTATCGCGTAGAGGGTCGTCAGGCTGGACAGGCGCGACACACTCTGAATTGATAGCGGTAGTGGGGGCGCTATGACCGACGTTCAGAATCTTTTTACGCTGCATCAGTCAGTCCCTTTTCAGCAAAAAGTCATACTAGATGAAAGCTTACATATGGCATAGGTTGGATCCCAAAGTGAAGAGGGTGGAACCAAGTCGGACCTCCGATACATCCTGCAACACGTCCATGAAGATCTGGTCTTTCGTGAGGGTGGCCGTTTCGTCCACCATCGAGCCGAGTGGGATACCAGTCATCGGATAAGCCTTCGAGCATCTCCTGGTGGTAACAATGTGCGTGGTTGTACACTGTTGGCGGACGACATCCGGAAGGGAGCTCCGGGAGTCTAAGGAATGGGTTATCATCCAGTCCGCCCGAGAACAGGTAGTATGGACGAACATGGTCGAACATGATATTCAACGAATCATCCAAGCTGTCCAGTAACGCCGGAAGTGTCTGAGGCGGACAATTGACACAGAGGTGAGGTGCTTGCCAGATTTGATAACCGCGTTTCAAGTTTTGCTTTTCGGGTCTAACAATAATTGGGCGATCCAGCATCTCCTCCTTAAATGCTTGTAACTCGCTCCATGGCATATCCAACTGGACCTTCGATTCATAGGAAAGGAGCCAGAGTTGTCTAAAGTTATACGAGCGGTTCCGCTCATTGGCTGAATGCTCCACCGCGTAAAGGAGGTTTACGGAGATGCGCAGATAAGGGTAGATCTTTTTCCTGATTATTTGCAAGCCCGTTGCAATAATGAAGAGCTCTAGAGGAGTGATCCTCCCGTCGGTGCGGCTTGAGCGTTGCTGGAGGAGATATGTGTATGCGAGCTCGCTCATGATGAGCAGGCTTGGCAGGAAGGAGTTGATCAGCAGAGGCAAATCCTTAGTGGGCTTCACGGGGCCATCCAAATCCGGAAGACTAAGCTTGAAAAGGACATCATAGTGCTTCATCAGAGTCCTCGACAAGTCGATAACGGCATCGAAAACATGCATGGCCTGTTTCATTTCGGGGGTGATGGAGTATCTGCAGATCTTTGCAAAAAGTAACCCAGTGGAGGCTTGAAGCTCTGGAAGGTCCATTGATGAATTGGCAGTGACCCAGGGTACTAGGGGAAGTGATGGGTTATACGGACGTCTCAATGGAAGACGCGGGAGCCAGTTATCGTCTGGCATTTCATCCGTTGTTTCGTGGAGACTTCTCGTTGATCTAGAAGATTCTCCCTCACTATAATCACTCCGGTCTACCGATTGATAGGTATTCTTATATTTTGCCATCTTGAATCAAATCTTTATCAAATTTTGTCCAGATCTATCGGAGGTAGTTAGAAAAAAACTTCACAAGACATCGTCCTTCATGACATACTATGGATACACAACTGAATTGATAAGAGATGATTGATGAGAGGGTGTGACGAGCAAAATTTAAACCGATTATCTACGAAAGATTTAAAGACCTTGAGACACAAGACACCCTCCGATTAGAGCCCAACTCGTCCAGTTGATTGGTTGACGAGATGGTGGTTTTAGATGAATTATTTCTCGGAATAGAAGTTACTCGGATGATAACATGCATGGTAGCGAACCAGAGTGTGTGGGGTAGACTGCGCTAATCTTGGCCCGTGAAAATTGGATTCAATTTTAACAACCCTAATCAGATGCGATAAGAATGCACTCACTCATAGTATTCTAGATACTCAAGCTTGCTCAAACCTTATTCCTTTGCTGGGATGATGAGCAGGGATTTTGGCGGGATTTTTGTTGATGTCTGTGCGCAAGAGCACTACTATCAATAGCATATATAGAGAGATTAAAGGCGTGAGCGAGAATATCATGTACAGTATACATCTATCTATATTCCTGTATGTCTTTCCTTTTTACATATAGATACGATCCCATGGAACGCATTTGGGTCCTCATCGTCCTGCAGCTGGTAAGTAAACAGCATATTCTAGCTAGTATGGCCTTACTGAGACGAGTCACGTTAAACAATAAGATTACTGTACAGTGTAGTATAAAAGTAGATGTAATGCAGTGATGGGCACAACACAAGACGAGTCTGACCAGACGAGATTAGAGAATAGTCTCGTCTCATCTTGTACTATTAGAGTTCATGTTTTGGAATTCCAATATCTAAGGGTTGGTCCTGCCTTAATCTCGGAACTTTGTAACTACTGATATTATCCGTTTGATACGACATAAGTGCCTTCAAAGTGAGAATTTCCAGAACGGTCAGGGTTACCAACCCAAACGCACGGTCGGAATAAAAACTGCTGAGACGCTTTAGGCAGGGTTAGGGTTATTTGTTCAAACTCATGTTGTTGTTTTTTTACTTTTTTAACTGATTAGTTTAAACTCATGGCCGTAATTAATAAAATAAACATATTTATAGATTAGAAATAAAGTCCGGGAATTTTTATGCGATCTTCTCGACACTTTACATCTTGTATTTGCCGTGGTCCCGTCTTGTCTTTTGAGATAAAGTCTGGTCATGTTTTGTCTCGTGCCCATCACCAAACTCTCACCTTGCCGAGTCTCATGCCGCCAAATAATGAGAGGACAGGCGTTTACACACATGTATTCAATTGGGATTGGACTTAGAAATGAGGACAAACTATCTATGTTACCCAAAACTCGTGTCTGAAGATGGGTGATCGCCCAGATAAACATTGGAATGGAGGGGGGAAAGGATCTTCGAGTGGTAGTCTTAGTGCACGAGAGCCCATAACAACCATCTGATGTTTCAGACTCCCCCAACACATATTACACCTCACCTATGATCAACTGCGTGCTCAAACCTCCTATCCACATGCTTCCAACGAGAGACACCCCGCCATAACAAGCTCATCATACCTACCGATTCATGTCATCCCAATTGCCCAATGGACAGCCTCAACCACCGGCTGTAGCCGGTCAATACCTTCCAACCAAAATGCGAAACGAGGTCAAGGCCCTCATGGCCCTTCTTTCCCGGCAACACAAAGACATCACAGTACTGGTAGAGGAGATCTGTGTCCTCTCTCAGGTCGTCCAGGAAGCGAACGGAATTCTGAAAATCGGGGGGCACACACAGGAATTCTTCCAAGATGTCGTGGCACTCAGGGCGAGCTTGCAGCGCGCGAGACGTACGCTGGACAATGCCCAGCGTCTAACTACGGAGGTGTTAGAACAGGTGGAGGAGATGATGGTGCAGATGGAGAGGGTTCGGCGGTATGCCTGTTAGAGGAAGTAAGAGTGTATGTACATTTTATACTGCGTATGAAGGAATTGGGACTGACGTGTCTACAGGATAGGAATAATGAGTAAACTAGGTCCAGTAGGAGTTGAGGAGGGTTGTTATGTCAGTGTTTGAGATATTTACCTTCACACTTTAGCTTAACATTGCTTTGGATACCAATCCCCGCGTTATTCAGCAGACGGCAATAAAACTTCACTCTATACTGCGCGTACTCGATCATATTCACGGGGCCTATGTGAATTAAGTACCACTTGTAGCACGATGCCGATCAAATCTATATGTAGGAATACATGTCCTTCCAGGATACTACATGCACGAAGCCAAACGTTCGGGATTCTTTGTACCTCCGGCAAACTACCTCCTTACCCATACCATTCATAAATATGTTCATAAAGCTCGATCTAGTATGCTTTAAACGAATAAACAAGTAGTTGTGCCATGAAATATGACCGAAGATCGAGGAGGGAAGCCCGGGGGTGTCGCCATGTCTATGTAGTCAAATTCCTTCCTGCATCGTCTAGGTTGGTGATAAATAGCTCGATGAAACGAGAGTGCCTTGTTAGATCTGGAGTGATCTCTTTAGCTACTGGTACCGTCATAAAGTACGTCCAATGCTCCATGAGCTGAAGAGGCATGGAGGTACCAAGATTAAGACCTACGGGAAAGGTCTAAAATGACACCTTTCTCTGCAGTCAGCCATATGATAGCACCTAATGCAAGACGACACCGACCTCGAAGATCCAACTGAAATGCACATATTCCCTGGGTTCAAACCAGAGGTGAGGGGTAGTAGTCGGAAGTGTCATATTAAGTCCCTATAGTGCCTTCCGTAATTTTGTAGCAAGCTTTCATCTCTTCTTTTTCTCTTATAATAGTAATTCGTGAAATAAATTGGGAACTTCATCACCCCTTATACTGGCTTTGGCCGATTGACTTTGTACGTCTTCTTGAACCGTGTGCGGTTGCTGAGCGTGTCTACTAGTACTTGGGAACTGTCTCACCCTAGGACCTGTTCAGGTTTAGCGCTTCGACCCTGGTCGCACAAGATCGTCAAGATCCTCCTTGGCAACGGTGCGTAAATATTTGGATCCCTGTCTCCCTACTGACATAAGCGTGCATGTCCGCGAATGGCAGTGGGCTCATGAACTATCACTCGCGGTCGCTGCTTGCTACTTCCTCTCGTGATCGAATTTTTGGTAGAGAAAGAAAAAGGAATAAGCTTGAGATTTAAAGATTGTGTGGCGCATAAGGGTTAGCCGTGTTCTTCTTAGTTTTCCTCTGGGTTAGCCTGGAGGAATTAAGGGTTTAAATGATTGCCGGCTAATACGTCGGTATCGGCGGGGTGGACGGGGGCGGTGGGTTTGTGGAAGCCGAAGAAGCATAAGTGTAAGGGGAGACTGGTTTATGGGCTTGTTTTGTGTGTGGAAATAGTGGTAGGGGAGCATTGTCAATCTCGCTGCTTGATGTTGCGGGCCTTTCTCTTTACTCCCGTCGGGGGTGTCTTGGGTTTATCTGTCGGGTTCACGGTAAGCTCTGTGAACGTTCATAGACGTGTTGTAGAGTATATGCGTAGAAAGCTATGTGTTGACGCATTGCGGAGCTTACTGATGGTCAATGTTTTCAATGTGTAAGAGAAATAGAGGTGGGACTTTGGCGTGATAGCTAAGGGTCTCTCGCCGGTCATCTCTGTAGATGGATCGGGGGCCTGTACTTACCTCCGTCCTGTGTCAGCTCAGGTCTGTCGCTGGTTATGGAGGAGCGCAATGCGGCGAGGGAAACTGTCCTCACTCCTGCCACTAATCTTTAACCTTTGATCGCTATCTAGATAAGGTATCCACGCCGGCGGAGGTGTCTGATTCTATGTTGCTGAGCCCGCAGCTAAGCTGTCCAAAGCAATGAGGCAGTCATGTGACCTGCGGTGTAAGTGGTAGGCAACTTTTGTTTTGCGCTTTCTTGGGGGGTTTATATAGCGAGAATTCCCGCCCCGCACCGCACCGCCACGCAACAGTCAACACCAACATCCTCTCATCCGCCACAATTTCTCACAACCTCAACTCCACACAATAAAATCTCTGTTTCAGATCTAGAAGCTTGAGAAGCATCTCAGAGTCAGTAAAGAAATAAAAATTGTGAATTGCTGTGGTATTGTCAATCTAGTTGTGCACTGTTCATCGACGTTCAACATTCAAGAGACTACTAGTTCACCCCTTTACTTGAAAGTTTAATTGTTGTGAAAGCAGCGGAATAAAGTAACATCGGAGCTTGATATTATCTCAAGTCATAGTTGGTATTTAATAATCACTCTTCCCTCATGGGTATTCTATAAGTAAGAAGATAATAATTTACTAACTGCCTGAAGATAAGTTAAAAAGTAGAACCAAGTAAAATAAAGACTCACCAACCCAATCATATTGTTCCAAAATGGCTACAGAAATGGAGAGAGAGAGTATATCGGCTCTTGCTTCGCTCCCAGTCGGGATACTACAAAACATCGTCGAGAAGCTTGACCATCCGTCATTGAGGAACCTGATCCGTTCTCTTGGTAAAGAGTTATCTGTAAACCAATGGACAATGATCAACAACAATCATACATCGCGCCATGCACTCTCCAAATTACCCCATGAGATTTACCTTCAAATGGCTCTTAATATGGAATCTGAGTCGATTCATGCCCTAATCCACACCTTGCGCCCCTCCATCGATATTCTCGATCTCGTCAAATTAGCACTCTACAAACAAGCCTCCCGCGAATTGATGACACCCCTCATGACCTGGGCTGCCGATATTGGCTGTGTCTCGTGCTTCAACATCTTCAAGGACAACGAAAGCCACACTATTCGGACCTACAGGGGCTTCAACCCGCTGCTCTCCGCCTGCCACAAAGGTCACGAAGAAATCGTGTGGCTGCTCCTCACTGAGTACGGTTACACGAACATCCGCACGATGGGCAGCAACGAAACGGCCCTCATTTTGGCAAGTGATGGTGGTTACAGCGGCATTGTTCAGATGCTGATGGCCTGTAACGCTGACATCGACGAGGTTGACTGGAATGACCGCACGCCACTATCGGTTGCCACCACTCGTGGCCATATCGATATCATTCGCCTGCTCCTTGGCGCAGGAGCCGATGTGCACACTCACCATGGGCCCCGGTTTGGCTGTCTGCTCGACATCGCAGTTGACTGTGGATACGCTGAGGCTCTGAGGCTGTTGCTCCGTGCTGGAGCTGAGCCGGTACACACGGGGACTAATGGCAGGAGGTTGTCCACATTGGAGCGCGCGGTGGGATTCAAAGGCCACAAATATATGGAATATCTGATGATCAACGGCGCCAAACATCCTAAGTTCAAACTTCCTCCCATCACCGTCGAGGGTGCCGCAAAGACAAGGTTGGAGATGGTGACACTTCTCTGCCAATACGGAATCGACCTCAACACCGTCTACGGGCCCCGCAACACTGCAGTCATTCATGTGGCAGCCTCCAATCTGGCTGGAAATATCGTCAAGGTCCTCTGTGGACAGAACGTGGGCATGATCAACACACTCGACTCCGCCGGCTGCTCTTCTCTCCACCTGGCAGCCCTCAAAGCAACTTGCGTCAAGGACCTCGAGACTTTTGAGGCCCTGCTTAAGAACGGTATCGACTGGACCATCCGTGACAATGCTGGCCGCACAGCAATGGACTGTGTCCCCGCCAAGTTATGGTGCAGTGCATACAGCATCCTCGCGGCAAGGATCTGCTGGGATGAGGACGTTGGAAACTGGTTCGCACGGTACACCTGGTACGGATTTTACTGGTGGGTCAAGGAGAGTTGGGTCCAACCTATCGTGTTGGCTCTCGAGCGTGACTACCCCATCCAGTATGACTGGGTCAAATCCTTCATCAGCGGCATCCCAAAATCGGCGGTCTATCTCTCTCTTGTCAGCATTCTCAACGCAATCTGGACGTCTCTGCCGGTCAGGTTCCTCCGTAGCCTGGTTAGAGGAATTACTGGCATCGTGAAGCCGGTGATTGTCAGCCACCTTGACGATATCCGAGGCCTCAGTCACCGGTTCCTTACCAGTAACTTCAACACGCGCTTCTTCTGGAAGCTGTTTTATTTCTCCGTTGTTGGGATGCATCTGGTTGTTCTTCTTGGCCTGCAGCTCGGTGGGGGATCGAAGAGCCGTGCCAATGTTCATGAACGCGGGGGTGGGAATGGCGTCTCTCCGAGGAGTGCAATCTCTATGCTATTCGAGTACACCATTTGGGGGTTGCTTGGTCTCTTTCTCAGAGCTGTTTGGGTTGCGATTTAGGTTTGTTTCCGCTTCAGTTCTCTCTTCTTTGGAATATTTCGGCATGAATTGGACTAACAGTTTGCTATCAACAGGTGGAAGGAAATCCGTTGATCTCGTTTGTGGGGGGTTGACTAGTTGGGTTCCGCTGTAATGAGTAGAATAGTATTTTTTAAAAAGGAAATTTACTATTATTACTCAGAGTTTAGTACTCCTGTATACAGCTATAAAGATGGAAATATATCAGTAACATCAGAAGTCTTGTTCCCAAGGGTATTGGTTTCGGGAAGGGGTATCTTCATCTCTGTAGCTAGTCAGAGTCATGAAAGGAGTAAAGTCAAAATATTATTGTTTTTTACATAGCCTTCTCTCTAATGTTACCCATCGAATCAGAATTATAATGTGAACCGTAAACCATGAGTTACTGGTTCAGAATACGTGAGCCCGACATGCAATGTGCGGACACCCGGAGAAACAAACAAACGATTAAAATGGCAACGATTTGTCTGCTTTGGGGGAGAATTACCGAATTAAAATGGAGATCTCAGCTTCATGGGCCACGCAGAATAGCACGATATGGTGTATACATTTTGTATAGATGAAGAGGCATATGATGGCTATGGATTACCATTTGGTGTAGTAAAATCGAATGGGAACCCATTACCTCTCTTTCGGATAATAGTATCTGCGTTTAGAACCGTGGGAAGGTGGGCGGGTATTCATCTCTGGAGTGTTGTAATTGTGGTTGTGACGCCAAATTCAGAGACCAGGTCCCGTACGGACTCGCTGAACAGCCAGCTGTATGGTTTGGGGGTTATTCGGCTGGCTACAGATTGTAGTATTTAAGCCCACTGAACCAGTGTGTTTTGGAGACTTTGTACATTACACACCATGCCGGGTTGATGTAGCATGGTGGTTTGGCAAAAGGTACAAGTAGATCACATTTCAGGGGTACGGCTATTGGAAAGGCGTATTTTTATTATTTTACGTCCTATTTTCTACAATCTGTCTCCCCATCCTTTACCTAACTTTTATCCGTGTTCTATTTACATGTCATTTAGTTGTTCTTTACCGTCCAGGTCCATCTCTTTACTGCGCCCTTTCGCCTTTTTTTCTTCTCTTTTACGTTTCTTAAAAGGTCTGGTCAATATATTTGTAGCCTTATAAATTCTCTATTATAGCAACCATCAACATTAACTCACATAGTACACTTGGCACAGTCGTATTAACCTATAGTTAAGGTAATGCAGTAATGAGGGATAATCTATAATTCGCTCCTCCATTTCCTATTCCCGCGGGCTTTCGTAAGGAATATAGGATAGAGGTCACATCTATTGTTAATTTAGAGAGGAGTAGCATAAGTGGCTGAGGGCACCTCCGCTCGTGATTGTTAAGTGTTTACCTTTTCTTTTGCTTCTTCTTTTTTATTTTTGATAACGGCGGTGTCAATGCGCTACATTTCCAAATCAAATCTATAACATGCATGCAAGGCCGAGGCTACAAAAGATGGTGTGAAATATTACACGGGATGCAGATTAATTCCTGTGCTATAAAGAAATCTATTATGAAGAACATAAACTCAGAAACAAGAACAAGCAAAAAAAGCCCATAAAGCCACGACAAGAAATCAAAAAACGGCAAAAAAACTAAATCCGAAACACAACACATACTCCAAAAACCTTTCCCCTTCGACGGACAGTTGCGGCTGCGCCTCATCACACCCTCATGCCACGCCACCAATCATACCTCGATCCATAATATTGCAAATTCTTATCCTCCTCCGGTGTCGGAGGCGGCGGTCTCATATCAAACAGCTTTCTCACGGGCGCGAGCTGAATCAACTTCTTCTTCCCTCTTGATTTCTTACTACCCGAGACGTTAGGGGTATCGTGAGCTGGCATACTGGCGCAACGCTTTAGTGCTAGATTGGAGACAGGCTTGGACGGGTTCGATGCGCTCCTGCGCCGATATAGAGGAGGGAGTTGCGAGTTCTGGGAGTAAAGCTGAAGGTAGGGATCAAACTGGTTTAGACTCGGTGGTTCTCTAGCGGTGATAGAACTGACTGGGCGTACCTGGGACTTCAAAAGCTGGTGCAGAGGGATGGAGTGTGTTTGGGATGATGAACAGTGGGCCTTTGCCTTCTCTTCATCATCGTTTAGAGAAGATTCAGAAAATTCATGAAGTACCACACCATCGGGGTCAGAGCCTACCACGGGTGGCGGCAGCTGTCCAACAATAGCAGTCCGTGCAGTCACTCCCGAAACCCTCCGCCTCCATAATTGCCAACTCTTCTCCCAGCCTTCATTCTCGGAAGTGGGAGAACCTTACGCTGAGCCGTCGGGACAGGGATATTGGACTCTGGGGATGCAATATTTTCTTTACGTACTACCTCTACCACCGGGATAGAACCCACAGCGGGAATGGGACTGGGCTTGAAGCGTACAATATCTCTTGAGGACTCTAAAGCCGATGGGATCTTGCTTAGTTTATGTTGGCTTGGCATCCTAGCTGGACGAGGGGTGGGATGAAGAGGTAGGCAAACCCCGGCTGGAGAGATGAGTTTGTAGATTGGAATGTTATCGTCTGGGCGGGGCTGACCTATTTGTGAAACTAGGTTGCTTTCAGTGGGCACAGCGTCGGGAATAACGGCTTCGCTGATGGGGCTCTCTCTGTGCGATAGGCGTGGAATGCGGGAGGTCCTGGTGGTTTTGACCTCCAGGAAAGGGCAAGGGGGATCAGATAGAACTCCGTCATGGCCAGTGACTTCCAAAAACTCGGAGCAGACGTTATTTTCAAATTCCGGCGGTGATGAGAAAGGAGAGGTTACCACCGCCAAGGTGGTATTCCTTGCGAGGACCTCCCTCTTTCCCAGCGGAATGGAATGTTCCTTCCTGAGATACTCCACATCGGTTATCATGCTCGGGTTGGTGCTGCTGGTTAATAATGCGCCTGCAGGCTTCGAGACCATCTCGGAGGGGGTAGATTCTGCTTCATGCTCGTCATCGCAGTATATCTTACCCACAAGTCTGCAAACAAGTCCAAAACCGAACTCCTCACTCTGGTTCTCATATTCCTCATCTGAGACAATATCACTCTGCTCAATCTCATATCCAAACACGGGACCTTTCTTGAAGCTCCTCGATGACTCCGACCCCTCCAGAAAACCAGGCGGCGGACGGTTCCCTTTTCCTGGTGCATGTATTTTTACGGGTCCCGATGGGGTGCGTGTGGAGGGTGGTATGGAATACCCGAACACTACGGGGGGTGACTCGAGTGTGATGCGCCCGGGAGTGATTTTGGCCCAAGCCTTCTTCGGCGGTGTGTCCACTGTTGGATAGCTATTGACCCTGACGCCGTTGAGTTCTAAGAGTGCTAGAGGGATGCGTTTGCGTGGTTCGGGGACTATTTCCCGGGCCGGTTGGGGTGTGGAGAAGAAGCTGGATGCAGTGGGGCGGGTTGGTGCTTCAGGCATTTCGACTATTTCTGGCGATTGTGTTTAAAGTGTTTGTATGGGTGGATAGTAACTGTTGAGGTTCGTATCTGTGGAGGAACATGGGAAAATATATAGAGACCAGAGGACGGAATATATTGACTTGAAAGATGATTAAAATGCTCGTTGGCCTGGTATTCAAAGGTGAAATTATTTAACTTGAAAAAAAGTAAAAATCGATTTATACGTAGAGAATACACCACCCCTAGATAACATTCAAGTGGACATCTTCGTATCCGAGCAGAATTAACATGAAAATACCAGCAGACAATAATTCCAGGCAACCAGAGCAAACGGGACCTCCATATTCCCTTCTACTGATCAAATCCTCGATAGAAAATAATTCCTCACTTCTAGTCCATTTCCGAGTGATCCCGGTTTTTCAATGAAAATGATTTCCCATATAAGGAAACATTTTCAGTACCCACATGCTCGGCTTGGCAGAGGCCTTTCCAGAGTAGCTTTTCCTTTTTTTTTTATTGTGTCGGTGGGGGGGCTGTTATTGCCCCCAAATAACATATCACATTTAGGCAACCTCCACAAACAATCCAGCGTCCTTCTTAACCAATCTCCATCTAGGCACAGATATCTGCGAATCCCCCGCCAAAGCAAACATCAAACCTCATCATGCCCGCTCCAGATCCCAAAACTCCTCTTAACCGTCGGGCCTCGATGCCTGTACCATCAACCGCCATGGGGCCTCCAGAATTCACACCCTCCTCTTCACGCACTCCAAAAACAAGATCTTCAGCACGCATTCCGAAGACACAATCTTTCCCACGTCCGTCAAGACGGCGTTTATCTCCACCTCCCGCCTCATCCCAAAGCACCGCCCTCCCCACCTCCGGTGAAGCCTCCTCGGCGCCAGTCGTCACCCCAGCCCGCCCACAGCGCGAATACGGCACATTCGACTCTCCCTTCATCCCCGACATCCACCCCACCCCATCCGCCGTCAGCGTCGTACACCTGTCAGGCGGCACTCGTCGGTCAATTTAAGGAGGGATGGCATCCCGGCTGATGACCGGTTGATCAGTGACGAGAAGTATCGAGCGCAGCAGAGGGAGAATACAGCGTGGATGCTTGCCACTAAGGGGACATTGAGCTCGAGTCCGGGAATTAGGATTGAGGAGGTGGCTGATGAGGATAGTGATGAGCAGGATAGGGAGAACTTTGATGATTGGTGTAGGGAGGAGAGAAGGAAGAGAAGGGTGGAGGCGGAGAGGGAGAGGGAGAGGAGGAAGAAGAAGAGGGAGGAAGAGAGGAGGGAGCGAAAGGAGATGAGAGCACAGGAGGAGAGAAAGGAGCAGGAGGAGATGAAGGAGCAGGAGGGGAGACGGGAAGGGTGTGACGAGTGGTGAACGATAAGGGGAGCAACGAGGATGCAGAGCAGAATAGTGTGATCTTGGAGATTGCTCTGATATCTGTCATTGTGAGTATCAAAAATGTGATCTTCCGTCAATCCTGTAGTCATGGTCGTCTGAAAATAGGAGGTTTCTAAAGATGACCTTGGGGCTCATGTGCTTTTTGCAGTATAATCGAATGTTGTCCTTTCTATTCGATCGAGAGCAAATATCTTTTGTAATAATTGGCCTAGATAGTAACGTAAATTTTAAAATCATTAGCCCACGTTTAGGTGCCTGGTTGTATTTTATTCCTGCCTTATAGAAATTGCAAATGCGCTTTACCCACCAAACAGAAAATTGGGTCCAGAAAGAATCGTTCGAAGTAGGAGCAGGAAAATGAACAATAAACACATTGAAGCTTTTTTAGATGTGTGCTATATGCATAATGATAATGCAACCTCGAACTTTCAAGAAACCTCCATTTTTTCAATCTCCCGTTATAACCTCCCCTGAACCCTGGGGTGACAATGAGATGTTTCTTTCGTATATAGAGAATGCCTAGCCACTTGGGTTCCTCTAAGAGACCATTCGATGTTAGATAGGGATATACGTGCTTCGTTTGTACGGTATTGGAAATTTCGGATCTGCCCCTCACCATTACTCAACTGTCCTTTGTAAAATTAACGACAAACAAATAGTCCCAGAAAAGACATTACTTATGCTTGTGCTCTCGTTTTTTATTTCCGACCTTCCAACATTATTCTCCTTCAGCGCTCATCAGAGGGTCATGGAGTAAGTTCCCAAAGAGACATCTGGTGTGAAGGGCCGGGAAAACGAACTTTGATTTTTCAGGAATTGCTCAAGCCCTCGCCCAGTAAGGCGTACAGGTATCCCGATTGTCCTCCATGCCGCCTCCTATTAGTCGGATGGATGCGGTCTGGCCTCGCCTCCGAACCTTCTCAAGCCAGGATTTTCGCAAATTTGTCGATCGACGGTATTTGGGCAATCCTTGCTGTGTGGCCTTCGCTTCGAAACACGTGCAGATAACGATCTCCTCGACCGGGTAAGAAAGTGACCGCACTTCAACCTCACCTTCCGCTACAGAGTATGAAAGAAAAAAAACATTTTATCACTTTGAGTCAACTATGGAAGGCTTGCTGCTATTCCAAATACCGGAAAAGAAAGAGGCACGAGGTACGCCAAATCATGTCATTTCGGTGACCCATATCGACTAACTACTGACGCAGGCTGCGGACAAAAGAAGCTAAAACCACCGGCGATAACCTTCTAACGTCATTTGAAATTTCTTAATGCCAAACCTCCTAGCACGGCTGTACCCAATACTCCTCCTCCCCAAAGACAAAGTAGGGACGTAGGACTCCACGGGCGTAGCTGCCCTCGTCAACGCCGGTGCGAGAACAATAGGGCGGACCGCCGTTACCAGATGTGTCGATAGCATCACGAACCGTAATGTTTGAAGGTTGAGAACAGTCTCCGGTCTCCTTCTCGACGTCGTGCTGACCAGCTATTGCCACCTGTGTAAACGTATGCGAGCCTTTGCCAGGAGTATCAAAGAATGCTACAAGGCCAGAAGGTTTCTCACCGCTCTTCCCAGTGTATTTAGGGATACTGACTGTGCACATGTTAGCCGACACCCTAGGAATTCGATTTTGCAAATGAGCCAATCTGGCGTGGCAATAGGCGTGACCTTAACCATGAGGTCAATGCCGTGGTGCTTGAGCATGTGGTCTATATGATGGTTGTGACGTGCATAATAGCGAGGACAAATCTCGCAAGTAGGGAACGTCATTCCAGCCATCAGCCTCTGGGGTTGCGCTTTGCCTTCCTCTGTTGGAGGGGGGGGCGTTTAGGTGTGTTACAAGGTGCCGTTTTCGCCCACTTGGCTTCGAAAACACCCGGTTGCGGGGGAGGCGTGCGTTGTCTGTGGCCGGAGGGATACCACCCGCCCCGGCCGATGGGACGGAGGGGACAGGCGGAAGGGGTGCTACAGCCAAAGGTTAGGTCTAGTCCTATACAACATCGGCAAAGTATGATCGATTAGGGACCTACCGCTCGAAGAACCAGTTGGGTTTTCACCAGCTGCGGCTGTATCTCCTGCAGCTGTACGACGACGTGTAGCATTACCGTTCCTCACCATTTTTTGTACCTTTCGATGAAGTTTGGATAGTTGGTGGGATGAGCGGGTTATCGTGTTTTGCGTTGTTAGAGGTAGGGGAGTGGGTTCATCATGACCGCCGGCCCCATCTTCCTTACCCCGTCAATCTTCTTCTCCGCGTTCATGATTCTCCAGACGAGTCGCTTGTGGTGATCGTGATGTGGCTTCCTTGTAACAACCGGACTTTCGATATGTTGGAGATGCTTTGTGGTGTTGGTTTGAGATAGTGGTTTCGGTATGGGTGTGGGTCAACAGGGCCCGTATCTCTAGGTTTTGAAGGTTTTGTCTGAACGATATACGAGTTCTACGATAGAGTCTGAACGGTCGTCTATGCCGGGTCGTGGTACTACGTGTGGTAGGAGAGTCTTTATCACTTTGAACAAAATATGGAGGCCCTTTGTCACTTTCAAACACTCGAACGGAAGGGGGCACCAGAGCAAGGTACACCTAATCTTTTCATTTTTAACAAGTATCAACTAACTACTGACGTAAACCCCAGAAAAGCAAATAACGAAACGATCTCGCACCCTACTTTCGACTATTCTATCACAACCCCTACAAGCATGCCCGCCTCAACCCAGACTCATGGTCTCCTAGTCCTCAGGGTTGTCCGAAGATACCTCCATTCTATCGTTCACCATCGCCTATGGGGATATCCCGGTATAGGGCAAACTAGTAGCTGTCTATGACGAACCTATGTGGAGGTAAGTAATGAATTGCCAAAGAAATGGATAATGAGCATGAGCTCACTTGGATTCAGAAACTGCCATGAGTGAAGGATTGCCGCAGCCTGAGTAGCGGTATCTGATACCAACTCGAGGGCGTCTCCCATCTTATTTGAGAGTGCCCGTTCAACATCCCCAGGGCTAGGCATTGTTGGACTGGAAATAGCGCCTTCGGTGTACATAGGCATCACATGGGCCTTCTTGCCCTTGCACTGCTGATCAGACTTCTGGTGTTTGTTGATGTGGTTCTCAAACATGTTTTTGCGGCCGTAGTACCGTGGGCATCTTCGGCAGTAAAACCTTTTGGCGCCTTGCGGTGCACGCGCAAGCCACTTTACCCCAGCCGCATCGGTTGGAGGTTTGTTCAGGTGATATACCCAGTGCCGGTAAAGTCCTGAGTTACGAGTGAAGTATTCTCCGCATAGTTCGCAAGTTGGCCGTTGCTTCGTAGGATTAGCAACAACCGTGGTCTCATCCTGATCAGGATCTTGCGGAACGTCAGGCGCCTCAGAAGGGTGGGTGTCGGCCGTGGCGGTGGAAAGAAGGGGCTCGGTCATTGCTGTATTCATTGCTGTATCTTCAGCGTTAGCATTCACCGTTATCAAAGGGTCGGTATGGAGGGGGACGCCAATTGTACTTGAAGGGTCGAACTATTCGGACGCCATATTGATCATTATTTCCTTCTCGGTCGACATTGGGAGAACAGTGCGTATGTGGATGGTGGGAATGGACAGTGAGTCAATCTTTAATGCTCCTCACGGTATTTATGTGGTTGGTGGGAGTATGTGGGTGTGGGTTATCGCGACTGCTAAAGCTTGGCTTACTTACTCAGCGCGGTTTCTCTCAGCGTTCAGCATTATCAGGGCGAGTCGTTTCTGGTGATCGGTGCACGGCTCAACAACTGCGATTTTAATACGTTAAGGCTGCCTGGTGATATTGGGTTGGGATATTGGGTGTTTCTGCGGGAGTCTTGCTGATTAAGGGTGATCGATATATTAAGGTTTTGAAGATTTTACTGACCGGGGATAGCTAGAGCGTGGGGTAGATTTGGTGACGTTGTATGAGTTCCACGACGTGTTATCAGTTTTCTTCTACGCTGGAATGCTATGGCCGAAGAGAATGGTAGTTTATACGAGGAATATACAGCTACAACAGCTCCCCCGCTCTCGAGGGCTTCGTTATCTTGAATTCGGCCAACGATTGGGAGTTTTATCCATCTGCACCCTTAGCCCCGGAGTTCTTGAATTTTCAGCTTTCGACTCTAAACCGCTTCTACGTCCACTGCCATTATTTCTGGGCAGAACAGAGTATCAGTTGCGTTTTGTGGGCTTGGTTCTAACGCGCATTGGGCTTACATAGATGAGTGGGTAATCCGGAGGAGCGGGATGCAGCAGTGCGTGGTTGTGCTAGTTCTGGCAAGGGAACATTAGAATAGAAATTATATATGTTCATTGGGAGCGATCTTCATAGGTTTACATTATTTTAGTCATCAAAACAGTGAGAGAATACAAGACGTTGAGTTACCACTTCATTTTTTGCCTTGCTATGTCTTCAGATCGTACACGGGTTTTACACTTCTGAAACACTTAATAAATGGATGTTTCTGCAAGATTAGCTCTGCCCTTCTCTTTTCTGCCCAACCGGTAGGCCTTGTGGTGAGTAGTACCCTCGTGGTCGTCAACCTCGGCCAAGACATATTCACTGATTATCAGTCGGTTGGGAGCCTGGGGGTAGCTTTCATGGCCAACTCCCCGTAGTACCTGTTACTCTAACGCATCATTGCTCAATATTTGCTAGAATCTATCTGCTTTCATCGGAAAGCGCGGAGAGCGTGAAACTACGTCCGATCTTCCAAAGTTGATTTTCAAGCTCTGCGCTTCGCCCATGAAACAAGCTTTCAAGTTCCATCAGTTTGAAAGACCTACCACTTCCGATATTACATTATTCTCGACCTCGTAGTACGGCTGTTATTCTAAGTCATCTCCAGGTTGAAAAGGTTCCCCATCGGCATATTTGCATATATCATTATGGTTTCTCTCTCTTTTTGTTTTACCATAGCCGGAGATTTTGATAGAACTGAATAGATAGGAAATGTTTCTGTATTACCCACAGATCACAGCCTACGTTAGCCTAATGTAATGGGCGGTATGTATCCTCTATTAGCCAGATGTGCATCATGAGATATCACTCGTGACTACAAACCCGTACAGTCCTTTTTTTTTTTTTTTTTTTTGTTTAATTCATACCCGTACAGTCCTTATTTCTCCGTGGTCCCGAGTCCGAGTGGTATACGTAATTCCCTCCATACTGCCATAGTAGAAGGGCCACATATTTCGATATTACAAAGAGTTCTATGGTACATAGACCCCCCACATGTAGGTACCTCTCAGTTCTCTCTTCACCCGCCCAATTACCCACCAACTTTCTACTAGTATCATACATATGAACATATGAGCAGTGAGGTGCCTACATGGAGGTGCAGAACTAAATTGGAAAGTACGATGCACAAGTAGTCAGCTCACTTCTGGAACCTATCATCGCGCATATTTCTGTTTCAACCGAGTTTCATTAACTGCAAGATACCGTGATGCTATAATTTATAACAAGTATGGAAACAGTAAAATTCATGCTAAAACATTGACTACTGTTATGACATGATGACTACGAGTATATCTTCGGAAATGATCTAAACACAAAGGAACATATCAACAGTACTGGCGTGGCCGGGGGGTGCTAGCTACAAGATTCAGACGTACTCCCTCCTTGAGCTATGTATATAGTCGACAGAACGTACGTGTGTAAATTACAAAGATCAAGAAAAACGAAAGAATATTATAATGTGAGAAATCGACTGAACCCTTCTGTGGCCTGCTAACCGGAAAAACTGCGAAAAGCAAACATACTAGAAAGACAGATGTTGGCGAAGACAACCCCAGAAAAGAGATAAACAGAAATTCTTCCACTATTTGCTGCCGTAAAATACGACTATGATACCACGCACAATGATCTTCCTCCCACTGAAAAAACCAGCTAGATATGTCACCACAATATTCATCTCCCGTGAAACCTGAAAAAGAAAAGAATATGACGAGAAGGAAGATATATTCACCCGCATCTAAGATTTCCATTAACACTGAATGCTCTTGAAACAACCAACGCGCTTCAACCCTCACTAATCCCACAAGAATTTCCACCACTGCCAACCCGTTCCTTAGCGGCCCCCATTCCCAATAACCTGGCAATCTTGTGCGAAGTGCTGATCCCATAAAAAAACAATACCCCACGTAGGACCCAGAGGAAAAACCATCGACAACCAACAACTCACCCTCAATTTTAATTTTCCAATCGTCCATCCTTATCCTTAGCTCGCATTAGCATTTCCGGCGCTGGAAGTGTTCCTTTCACACGCTTGGCGCCGCTGTTGACCTTTTGCCGCTGTACCTCGCTCGGCTCGTCATTCCCCGAATCGCCGTTGTCGGAGATGTCTAGTTTTCTTTTCTTTGCGATATCATTTTCTTCCCCTTCATAATGCAGTGCCTGGTGTTTCTGCATAAAATACCTTGTTTTAAAGGCGACTCCACACATCTGACACCGAAAACGTGATAGTATAACTTGTGTGGCACCGCAATTGGGACCTTCTTCTTCGCCGTCTGGTTCCTCCGTTGCTGACTTCGCAAGGTGCTTATCAACCATTTTTCTATCACCGCCTTCCTCAATGTCTTTATGCACCGAATAATGGCGCCTCCTCAAGGCTCGGCTCACAAGGACCGCCGCACATAGGCGGCACTCGTATGCGCTCCTGACTTCAGTTTCGGCTGGATCCTCAACAGGATCGATGCCTGTGTAGTTGAAGTCGTACTCGTCCTCCTTATCAAAGGTAGTCCTGCTCCTATGACAGCCATCTCGCATAAACGTTCCCCGCAAGTCTTTTTTGTGACTTCTCATGTGCTCCTTGCGAATATGTGCGCTCGTCAACACAACACCACAGGTTAGGCATTTGGTGATATTGATTCCTTCCGCGTGTGTTCGTTCGTGCACGGCGATTGAGGCCGGTCTATTCGATAAGAGCGCGCAGTATTTGCAACGGGTGAGAGGCTTCCCCATCGCACAATACTCCTCCGCGATTAGAATTTGGGAAGCGGTAAAGTGTTGAGGAGTAGATAAATGTTGGGCGTAATGTCGTTTCAGGGAGGTGGAGTGCGAAAGCACCACTCCACACAATTTACATGTCCTTTTCTCCACCGGTTCACCCTTATTTCGTCTCTTCTTAACCTCCGGTCCGCACCCGTTCAGATGATGTGATTGCGCGATTGGTTTAGGTGACGTTACTTCTTCGGAACATTGGGACTGTCCTTCATCTATACCATCTTCGATAGCATCTTCGCCAACAAAGCTTTCATCAGCATTCCATTCACCCTTCCCCAAGTGACGTTCCCGAGCATGAAAAAATGATTGTTCCACAGATGAATTGAGCGGGTCATCACTTTCTGTGCCTTGGCTGGGCGTCCAGCATAGATTTTGGAATTCAAGTGGGTGGGAAAAGACGTCTGAATGATAATGGAACTCTCCAATGTTGTTCCCGTAACCCCCATAGTGACCTACTTTAATGTTAGAGCGGCGGGGGGCGTAGAGACTAAAGTATGGGGTGAACTAACCAGTAAACCCCAACTCAGTAGGACGACGAAAAAATGGCTCAACATTATTCCGAATGGTAGGAGTTATGTTAAATGGCCCATCGTGCACAGCTGATGCGTCGAAGCCGTAATGAAGTTCAGCGGGAGTCACTGTTTGAGGGAGACCGGCGTCGAAGTCTTGAAAGAACGCTTGCTCAAAGTGTGAATGATCTTGGGGAAACCTGACATCTGTGGCCTGTGGCATATCATCCGGAGGGTGATCCGCAGGAACTACTCCCTCTGGGTCCCAATCCACCCCATGTTCAATTCCATCTGAAAGTACAGTGAATTGTTCGTTATCAACCATTGACCATGGCCAGGCTGTGAATTCTTCATCTGCCATGATTTCTCGGTGAGAACAGATAGATTTGTAGAGAGGACAGAGAAGGTGGGGGAAAAGCAGAAGACAAGTAAATGAACCGGGGAAGGGGGTGACAGATAACACGGATAGGGGAGAAAGATGAGAGAGGTCAGATGGACAGGTTTCAGGGAAAGAAGAGAGGGAATAGAGTCTGGGAGGTTGTGTCGTACTGTCAAGTGTAGCAATATGTGTATCCCAGTCAAACCCAGTTAGAGAGTCTTCCATTGCCGTCGTCATCGGGGGTGGCTCAACCCCGGCTCTTTCCGTCCAGAGGTTTCTGTTATGAGTTTTGTTCAAAAGATGTCAACGGATCGACATCTTCTGCTTTTGTTGTTTTGTTATTTGATGTTTTTGGAGGTGTGTTGTAGTGGGCTTGTTTTTTTACTGGAGGGTACAACGAGGCTCAGTGGATAAATTTGGAATTGGCATTAAATCAGGAGGGAAGGGACGATGGGAAATGATACTCAGAATTTTGAACAACCCACATTTTCTTGTGCTTGATCTCCGAGGTCAGGTTATACTTTTATTTATGATTTTTCGTGCATAAACCAGCTCATTCAAGTAGGATATATATCGGGATTTCCCAGCTCCGCAAGGATAACCCCAAGTCACTCAAAGTTTCAGCGGTAAACTATAAATTTAATCCTGATCGCTGACACTGGAGTTTTTAAAAAGAATCATCAATTGCTACCTACAGGTGCGGCAAACGCTGCAATTAGTTTGATTCTACAAGGACTTATAGGATAGTCTTCAGGCACTCCAGATCTAAATAGCCCACTCCGAAGATACTGATAAAACACTTCGTGATACTTCGTGAATGTTCCAGAGCCCCACATCCGAATGAAAGTAGCTACCGTACCGAAGAGCCATCTCCGTTATTGTCAGACATAGGTCCCTTAGAGATTTTCCTTCAGGACAAAGATTCAATTAAACCCAAAACATCCACCTCCGCGCAGGCGCAATAATCCGTCCAACCCAAGACTCCCGAGGATCCAATCATGAAAGCTATATCAGAGCGTTCTACTTTTGTGAGACGAAGCCGAACGGATAGGAGGGATTCACTGCTCTAGTCTCGATCATAGGAAAACAAATTATGTTTGAGAAGTTGGGGCCAGAAAGGTCTTCTCGAGCTCTTGTCCTCCTTCCCGAACTGCTTCACTCACAGCCATCTCTAGTTGGGTTCCCAAATTTGATATTCGCCAGTAGAACAAAATAGTGAATATAATCCAACTTCAAGTCCAATTTGACCCTAGAACCGCTATTTAAACATCGGTCTCGAGAAAAAACCTGATGTTTGTTTCTGTTGTTTTCAGTTGGGGGGTGAGTGCGATTTGGTGATCGATGTTACACAGACAGGATTCGGTCACAGAATATCACTCGATCTTGGCTTCTCAACTGCCAGAGGAGGTTTTCAAAGTTTTCTTTTCGCATTTTATTCCAGGTAATGTCCTAAACTTAATTCCAAAGTACCTCTAATGTCTTAAAGCAAAAACAATTTTCTCAATAACGGTCCTGTTCCCTCATCTAATTGTCCTCGCAAGATCTCAATCCTTCATAAAACAACTCAACAAACCACTAAGGTCCACCACATAGGACGCTCACTCGCTCCTCCTCATTCTGTCCACAGCCATAGTGATCTTCGCACTCAAATGCTTAATCCTATGCTTCAACTTCGGCTTCCTCAACCTCTCCTCCACCAACGCCACTGGCACCTCCGTCTCCTCTCCACCAATCTCACTCGTCCCCTCTCCAACTTCTCTCTCTCGGGAAACCATCCTAATTCCCCCTCAAACTCATCAAAGTCCAAAAAGCTCAACCCCGCCCTACTCCTCTCAAACCTCACCGGCCCAAAGTCCGGATTCGACGGCATCCTCTCCACCCTGCTCTCTCTCTTCCCCCCAACCGGAGGACATACCGGTGTACTCTCCCGCGTCAAACTCGCCTCCGCCACCACCGAGCTCCCCTCATCACTTTCGTCTTCAAAAGGCGTCCTCGCCCTCCCGACACCATCAAATCCAGTAAAGATGTCAAACCGCTCTTCATACGTGAGCGAGTACGCAGCAGGAAGGGGAGAGACTGTGGGGAACATGTACAGTGACTGCGAGCGCGGCATGTTCGGGGCCCTTCTTATGGGGTCGGGGACTGGTTCTTGGCGGATTGTGCCGGAACGTGTGAGAACGTTGCGCATGGGTATCATAGGGTCGTCGAAGCGGCCGTCGTCTTCGATGGGGTCTTCAAAACGGCCTTCGTCGTGCTCCAGGGTGGGGTGGTTATAGTGGTTTGACCTCGCTGTTTGGGCGTTGGTGGTGTTTGGGGGAGAGCCAGGAAGGTGTATTGTTCTACTGTCTATCTCGTGAATAGAGCTTTTAATGCTACGCACACTGACCTCCGAAGCCTCCGCAAGTGACACTCGACTGTCAATATCAAACCGTGGCAACTCCAACATCGAGACCGGCGACACCGTCGGGCTCCTATCCGGGATGACATCGGCTTTCACTTTACTCTCGATCACGTAAGGCCCCCTATCTGCAAACGTCTTTCGTCTCTCTAACTTCGTTGGGCTACTCTCAGGCTCTACTTCCAAGTCGTCAAGACGCAGCCAATACGGCCCCGGATCGCCCACGACGTAGGGACCGCGGTTGGCGAAGGGTGTGTAGGGGCCTCTAGGACTCCCAGGCACCGGAGAGGGAGGGGGTGGGGTGGGGCGAGGGCGAGGTTGAATAGTGACAGAGCGAAGCATGCTGGGGATGGGGACGCGGCGGATGGTGGGGTCGGGGTTGGACATGTCGCGGCGGGCGGGGCGGCGTTGGAGTGTTTTAGCGGTGGCTGCGGGGGTGGTAGTGGTGGACCTCTGTGGGTTTGGGGATGCCATGGTTATTCCGTTTGGATGTTTTTGTGTGGTAGTTTGTGGATATTTCTAGATATGGATTTTTCTGGAGTTAGAAGTTGGTAGAAGCTGGTGGTTGTGGTATTTGTTTTGGTGTTTGGGATGGATGTAGCTGATGATGGAGGAAGATTAAAGGGCGGGGAGAGTACGTTTTATGAGAATTATTTTATTTCGAGTGGAGACTGTTGATATCTTGATGAGTTTCAAGTCGCCGGCTATAGTGACTTGAAACTCTAAAGTGGTTGCGAAGGCGTGGGAATAAGCTGCGTCTTGAAGGTTCTGCGAGTACCCACGTTATTCTAATCATGCTAGAATCTCTTGGTACGTCTAGAAAAAGCTCAGGGGGAAACCTTCGACATATCCGTTAACTTCAATTGATCATCAAGTTTGGATTATGTGGCGAGAATTGCACCCCATGGGATCGAAAGTATTGCTTTAGTCATTGGATCGAGACCTTTCGCAGCATCTCTGGTAGATTGTAACACATTGCACACCTGGGTAAAGGACAAAGATGAGAGCCGACAAGTAGGTGGAGTTCTTACGTTGCTAGTAAGAGAAGGTGGTTTAGGGAAGGGCTTGGTAGCAGGTTGTATTAAAATGATCTGTGTCTTTAACATGTATTAGTTAAATACATAAGCACCTAAGCTCCGTTATTTATCATCATCTCTCACCTATTATATAATCATTCCTAAAGGCGGTCTCACGAGTTGTGTTATCCATGACCAAGCCCCGTGGTGGTATCTTCAGCCCAGATCTGCAACTTGATATGATGATAGGAGAGTGGATATCCAAGGGCCCGGAGTCGCCTTGAAAACCAGATTTCAGCCAGGATGGGGCTGGGCAAAGTCGAGAAACAGTATTAATGTCACATATGGATTTAGCCAGAGTGATCAATCACGACAACGAAGAGAAAACTATCGCAGAATGAAAGACGTTTACTTTTTCTACCACCACTCAGATCTCTTTACTACCAACCAAGTTCCCATTCTTCTTCCCATTACCCCCAGATTTCCTCCAAATATTTCCACGCACACGAAAGCTGCGGGGATAATGATACTAAATACATGCAGCCGACGACTCGAACATAAAATTCAAATTGTAACCCTCTCCTCCACCCCCCTCAGCTTTTACTCCAACATCACTACCCTCCCCTAAGCATTTAACAGCTCCATCATCCCAACCTCCTGATCCGGAAACGTCTCGAGTAACTGCCGCATAGTATCGAAGTCCGTAGTGTCTCCGCCGTTCTCGTGCGTGGGCCCGTCGTTTGCGGAAGCTTGTTCTCCGGCACTCTCGCTCTGGGCGCCGTTCGGGGTCCACTCGATTCCAAGCTCGGTCTGCAGCATCATGGCCATGTGCCATTCCTCAGCAGTCAGCACCGCGGGTGGCTCTTGGTACTGTTCATTACTGGCCGGAAAAGGATCTTCAAATGGGCCAGGCATTGCTGCGAAGTCGCTGCTGACGCTATAGTCTCCGGCGATAAAGGCTTGATGAAGAGTTTCTTCCTCCGCGGGCGTGGAGTTTAAGAGATGGTGGTGCTCCTCATACCCACAGTTGGAATTATCCACCATCTGTCCTTCCAACCCACGGTCCCTCTCCTCGTCCTCCAACTGGGCCCTCAACGCACTACGATGCGAGAGCAATCGATCGTAATCCTTTTGGAGTGCTGGTATCTTGCTTTGGATTTCCAAGATCTCTGCAATGGCGTTCTTTGCCATTGTGGCCTCGTCGGGATACTCAGAGGTTGGGAGGTGCGCCCGAGCCATCAAGAATGAGGCGAGAGAGATACCGGTAGAGGGGCGTGGTCCGTGTATGTAATTATAAAGATGACGCAAACGGTTATTGTTCCCATTATGAACTTTACGGAGGGCGCGAATTTCAGAATTCAGCTCACGCTCGAATGCCGATGGCTGTCGGCGGGGCTTGGTATTTGGCATTTTGATGATAACGAGGGTTTCCAAGATGGAATTAGATGGAATTGAGATGACTTTGATGAGTTGTAGGGATGGAAGAGTGGGGAAATGATGAGATACGACACGGCCTATGGGAGTTCGAAACACGGGCGGTGAGGATATCTACTACAGCCGGGATGGACTGATACAATCGCCTTGTATAAAGCGGCACATATACTCGCAATTGCCTTATCTCTGCCGCTGATTTAAAATCTAATCAGCGCTGCTTTCTGCTTAAGCGGAAACCATGACAAAGGTGTGGGGGGCTGCCAAACCTGACTGCATCTGGAATGTTATAAAAGCCCTACCAACTTCAACGGTATTCTAGCATCTTCCCAGGAGACATGGCACAGGATAGCACCTAAAAAAATACTCTCCAAACATGTGTATAATTATGGCAAAAATTAGGATACAATTGAAGGATCTAACCGACAGAAATTCACATCATGAAATGAAGTCGCCTAGAGTCAAGGCACCAATTCCCACCTTTGTGTACTTCCCACTTTATGCGTGCTTTGATTAGACTAAGCCTAGTCCAACTAGCTTCGCCCGTTCGGCAAGACAAAAGGATTTTTCAAGGGACAATTCATAAGAAAAAACACCATTGAAAAGGAGATTTCACCCTTATAAATGCCGTTTTGCACCAAGCGATTGCTAAAAGACATGCGCAAACCCCCGAACCAAGTTTCGGGAGTGCGGAACGTTTCCCAGTGAGGCCGAGTGCTTCGGTGTCGCCTAGCCCGTTGCTACGCACATGTAGTATCATATCGGTTTTGAACAAAAATGCACGCCTTCGCAGAAAGGAAAAGCGTAAATTCATATTCTGAGAAGCTTCAATCCTGTCGTCGGCGGTGGAGTGACGTGCAGGGATGTGTCTTACTCATCATAGCCGAGTGATGTCTTATGAGGCGGGCATGCAGGGATCATGGTCAGGGATCTGACAACGACGCGATCGAGCATAGATGAGAGGTGATTTGGATTGAATCAGAGTGGCCATATTGTTGTTATGGATATAGGTAGGTGGCTTTTATATGCGTGTTGGTAAATAAACCTATACTTTGGGTAATGTGATTGGGAGAAACTCCGGAGGTGTGGAACTTCATCCGCGGCTGGATCGATGAATGCGGAATACAGGAAAAATAATTTGAGAGAGATTATTCCTCCAAACAATGTATTATTTATCTACTATGCGGTATTACTGTTCAAAGGAAAGGTGGGAGAGAAGAAAGGAAGGAGAAGACAGGGAAACAAGAACAACTTGAGGACCTTACGGGGTGAATTAACTACATGTAACTAAAGTTTATTAATTGGAATCTTACAGAGAAAAGGACAAGAAGAACTAAATGCATTTTAATAACACGGTGATGTCACAAAAGAAGAAGACCACAGTCAATTGACGACTGTTTGAAATCATTTACGCATTGTACTACAATCCCGACTATAGTACAAAAAAGGGAAGACAAAGGGAATCCCAAAAGGTAGACCAAAGGCACATCAAGAGACTGACCAATCTTTGTAAGCCGAGGGAGGAAACTAGAACATTGAGTCCTGAAAGCCCTGCCAGTCCCACTCATACTGACCCCACTCCCTCTGAGCACCTTGCATGCTGGTCTCTGCCTTTGGCTTCTCGGGGTAGATCTTGGTTTCGGTAGTCGCCCCCGTCTCTTCAACCGATTTTCCTTTGCCTTTATTTTTCTTCTTCTTTAGGACCTTCTTTTTAAGCTCGTCTTGCGGCTGTTCCTCACGCTGCTTTCCTTTGCCCTTGCGGTCATTAATTAAGACCGGTTTTTTCTCAACCTTTTTCTCTTCCATCTTTTCTTTCGCCTTCTTTACCACTTTCCTGTCCACCTCTTTCCCTTTCCCCTTCTGACCTTTCACCAAAATCTTCTTCTTAACCCCCTTCTCCGCCTCTTTTTTCTCCTTCGCTTCCTTCGTCTCCCCCTTCTCCCAGGCTACATCCCCGTCAGCCTTCTCATCCCACCACTTCAACTCCCTCAACATTCTCTCGGTGGCCGTAACCACATTCAAGGCATCCTCCAACCTCCCCTGAACGCTCTCCAGCTCATCATTCTTCGCCTGCTCCTCGTCTACCTCGGCAAGGCTGGCAGTGCTCTCATCGCCATTCTCGAGCTCACGCTTCCGCATGACGTTGTATTCGTACATGAGCCTGCGGGCGCGGAAGAGGATACATGCTTCGATTTCGGGGAGGGTGCGGGTATCGTTGAAACTGAGGTGGTGTTAGGTTTATTGGTTTATGAGAGTGGAGAAGAGGGGAACCTACTTGGAGGGAATTGTGCGGATGGAGGAGGAGCACGTGGAACAGGTGGAGCAGGAGCTCTCGGAGGTGCAGATTGAGCTGCAAGGCAATGTGACGCTGGGGGTGGTAGTAGTGTTTTGCGCAACCTTTTCCATTTATTATTTTTTTTTGTAGAGGAGATTGAAGTAGAAGAGCGGATATAGTGGCGGGGGCAGATAGATGTATTTGTAGAAGAACGAAAGTGAAGAAGATTGTATGGTGCGGCTCGTGTAAATAGCGGGGTTAGAGAGAAAACGATTTTTTTCCTCCTCTTTTTTTCTTCGTTGTGGGTTGGGTATTGTTTAGCCGTAGGCGCGTATCGTTTTGTTTCGATCTCGGCGTTTCACCTCGCGGGTGTCTTCTCTTTCGAAGCGTAAAAGGTAGCGGTGGTAGGCGCGGGACCAAGGATAGCAACATCGTTTTTGCAGAAGTTCCCCCACAACGAGACTCTCAAGAACTTCTTCTCAACCCCCGTCGATTTTTTTCCCCTTATTTCTCACCTCCTAAACCCTGTAGTTGAGCACTGTATTCGAGAAAATTAATGTGCAGGGGGGATTTCCTCCATACTCGATCGCACGCCCATCTTTCCTGAGCTGCTAGGAAAGAATCGGTGTATTTTATTTGCCAAATACCCCCCTCTTTATTATATATTCTTATCCTCCTTGCCTTCTTTCTTTCTTTCTCTCTTTGTTTCGGTATTTCCCGTACGGTCATCAAAGGAAAATTATTTATCTGGCCTTGGTTAAATAGAACCCGTTAGTTAAATTGTTTAAGAAAGAATGATAGGTGTTCAACTTACAATGATAGTGCCCATCAAAGCGTTGAACACGGAGGTACCTGCCCTTACAGAGAATATGGCCAGATTCCCTCAACCATTGAGACTCCTCGATATTGAGATGAAATATCTCTCGTGTCCTCCTACTACAGCTCCGCAGACTGGGTTCTCGGAATCCGGTAAAGAGTGAACAATAGCGTAGTCGCCGAAATAAAGCCTAAAGTTACAAACGAGAATTAGTGATGAGCGTGAAGTTCAAGGGAAAACTCTGACCTAAAGGATTTTGAATGAAGTGCTCTCTTTGATTTCTTCTATCCTTCATTTCACTCCCCAAATCGGACCTCATACATGGCGCATGGAGGCATGTTCCTCTGATCATTAATTAGGGCCTGTAACTAAAGTAGTGGTTAGCTGAAAACCACTTGTGTTCTGTTAATATTTGGGGAGAAGTACCATTCAGGCTAGAGAGTATGAAAAAAATAATTTAGGCTCCGCGCATTGTACACTTGGAGAAAAAACAGCAAGAAAATGTGGAATCCACTTTCGCCTTAACGAAACAGTCCTCTTCCAGTTTGCCAGAGGTTTATCGTTGATTCATTCTCCGCGACCTCTGATCTGGGCAGCAGTGAGGTACACCAATCCCCAAAAGACCTATACTTCATTGTTTTTATTTTCACGGTGGAGAGAAAAAACACAGTGTGTTCGTTGTTAGACGGCATCCCCTTATGGATAGGTGTTCAATCAAAAGGCCACGTCAGTCTTTCTTTCCACCTTACCCGCCAACCTTACCCCACTATTTTGGTTTTTTTCAACAACACCACAGGATCTCTCACATTTTTTCCGTCCATCGCTTCTCTCTTGACCTCCTTTCCTTTCTTCGTCTGAACTCTTACTACGACACCATATCTGTTCTCTTCGAATACTCAGCAGAGCTCGTAGGAAACCGGTCTCATGATCATGTGCATGGTCAGAGCATCTTTTAACGTTGCTACTCTCTGTTGTACATCCCTCGATCCCACGAACACTTGTCACCCTTCCTTTCAATAACAAACATAAAGAACACTTCTCCAGCGGTTTTTCAATTCCCTTTACTTACCTACGGCCTCCTTTCGTGCAAGACTGACCGCCGAAGGAGACATCGGAGCAAGACAAGCTAACCTTGAACTTGGGTGTCGGCCGTGGGCTGAAGATACGCGGTTTCTCAAGGCTGCGATGTGTACCACTATCGCACGAGCTCTTAGATCCGTCATGCGCCGGAGCGGTCGTGGTACACTTTCCAGTCTAGAGGTTACTGTGGGAATCAAGAGGCTTAGTGCATCTTGTCTCTCTCTGGGGGTACTTGAAGGGATGGCGTATGCTAGGCTATTCTGCATATTATTATGATGCATAGGTCCCCAATAATAGTACCCAATAACTCCCCTACAATCTTCGAGGGTGAAACAAGTTTTTGGGTCAGATTTGAATTCATCAGAGTCGGGGGTCAGGTTTATACAAGCCGTCGATGAACTTTGGAGCGTGGAGGTTATACTGTAGTACCAGGCTTCCATCATGTCTAAATACGTGTTGTCGGTATCCCTATTCCGCAATCAGTGGATGACCTCGGTCTCGTGATACCCGGATATGACTTGAGTTACGGTAAGTTTTATTATCCCTCTATCTCAGCTAAAGTCTAACACTCCATCATAGGAAACATTTGAAACACTCTGAACAGAGCAAATTGCTACTGGTTTTTGTACTCACCGGGAGAGCAGGATAAAAAGGATATCTGAGAATATTCAATGCGGCGAGAAGGGTAAAAGCCACTACACAAGAAGATTTAAAATCATCATTTGAAGAGGTGCTGGGGACCGGATATAGAGATAAATGTTACTTCCGATTGTGATAAATGGAGTGTCTAAGTGGTATGTCTCCTCTGGAGAACGATTGGATAGGAAGAGATACGTTATACGTGTGCGTCTCACAGTCGTAACAACACCCAGCCCCTGACATCCTAATGATGCGACGCGGTGCTCCCGTATCATATACATTGCTTGTTCTGTATTCGGTGTCTTGATACGCCCACCTGCATACAACCATACAAGTTTGTGCTTATCCCAAGCATCTTCATTTTGTCTCCTATGTGGGCTGTAACCCCGGATTCGACATGCGTAGGGACTACAGGGATTATGGTATTGAAATGTGCGAGAAGACATTTCAATTTTGAATGCCATGCTAACACTAACTCGCAGATGTGGATAGTGATACCGCGAGCCTCTGAGAAGCCAGTTCGACAAATGAGAATACTTCGCTACACTCAAAGGCGCCACACAACATGTCAGATCTCCTCCCAACCCTCTAGGGTTGTTCTAGATTCAAGCCACTACCCATTTCATTGAGGCAGGGGGCTACTCGATGAGTTGAGTAATAATGACGATTGGCGTTGTACACTCCTCTACGTTGCTCTCTTCATTCGTTGTTTATTCACACAGGTACGAACCCGTGTTTCTGTCTCCGTACCATCGAGAAGAAAAACATGATTTTCTCTCGGGAGGCGAGAATCGAGTGATGGTTCATGACGTTCCCCTGTTTATCGAGTGATACCCTATGATTTAATTACTCTCTTCTTAGTTCCCTACTTGTATATCCTCAGCCGCCATAACTTATCGGGAGGAGGAGAGTCCTATGGAGACGACACAACCCCGCTCTCTTGGTTCTTCACCTACTTTCTTCGAACCTTGATGAGTGCGATCTCACCGGGGGTGAGTCCGTTGTTCAAAAGCCGCGAGGAGAAGTTTTACTCCAATATCGAATGAGAATCACGAGGTTCGTAGGGACTGGATATCCCCACTGCTCATGATAATACTCCTTGATATTTATGCCCCGCTAAATAACAGCGGGACAGGCTCTTATCGTAGCACTCGTAAATGAGTGCTACTATAAAAAGTACCGAGAGTGTAATAACTTCATGACCGCAGACTAATCCTCACACAATGAGCTTTTAACAGGGCCTGGGGGAAAGAACAGAATGTATGTGAAAACCCAGGGAGGCGCCCAGCCTATCGAATTCGCTCGCGCTTCAGGGGTTTCTTTGTCGAATAAGCTGTGCGAATCTCAACGTGGCTTCAAAATTATTGCGTGCCGGAAGAAGGAACGAAAATGCGGCAAGCTTTTCCCTTACCTTCCACACCGCGCTGGACCCCCGGGCAGTAAGGTTAGTGCGAGGAAAGCTGGTAAGTGCACACCTTTGCCTAAGGAAGTAATTCAAGATCGCCCCCTCCAACCTAGTTGATAGTAGCTGCCGGGGGTATTCCCTAGCATTCACTCTGGCGGTGAGCTCGCCTATAGCAGGCCCAGTAGCATAGGTAGTAATACGCTTGTGGGGGCATTACTAGGACGTTTCCCATAGGGATGGGGTTAGAATTTTCCCAGAGCCATATTTTCTGTTTTAACCTTTGAATCCTTTTGGCGGAGGGGGTGTTGGTGGAGGGGAGCAAGCGACTATCATTTATGCAACTGCGGAATAGTAAAGGTGGGGCAGGGATTATAGGTAGCCGATAATTGCTGCGCGCAAGCAAAGTGGCATCCTATATTTGCCAGGAAAAGAGATTTCCAACACAATAAAACGGAGTTGTTGTTGCCATATAAATATGCACCTATAACTCCGATTCAACTTACGGGGAGATAGACACTCAAATACTGCATAATCAGCTTCCGTACATTGCTCACGTAATTTGCGATGCTTAAATTTCAATATATATCTGTATTTATTGAAAAAAAGAACAAAAGATAGCATTGATGGGCCGGTCCAGCCATATCTACTACCCCCACCCCCGGATTAATTCCTGAACCTTCTGCAATCGAATGCAAGGAGTAATCTCACGGTGTCTGACCCGGAGGAGGCGAGTTAACCGTTAAGCCACTCGCCCATGTTTGTTTCTCGCCCTGAGTTGTCTTTGAACGTCAAGGTTACAGTGAGTGTTAAGAAAAGCTAGTAAAGTAACTAGCCCGGATAGGTGCGCTAGTGATGGTACACCACGCGAACAGACCCCCGACGCCGGTCACTTGGGCAAAACTAATTTTGATTACCGAATATTG